TGGTCCAGGCTCAAGGCCTGAGCTGTCCACTGACTGCCCCCTTCCCCCACCCCCAAACGCCCCACACTCTCAGGCAGGCCTTCCTCCTCCCCTGCAGAGAACAAAGAGCCTGTGAGCCCAGATGCATTCGCCCAGGGCTTTCCAACCCAGACCCGGCTTTGGCAGAACCGAGGCCTAATCTTAGGGAGATTCATTTATTTCCCCAAGCTTCCCTGGCCTGACCTTGGTTTGGCTGGGAGCTGACCTTGAAGCCCCCTTCCTCCCTCCGGACTGTGCTTTTTTGCAAGTCCCTGCTCAGCTTGTTCAACCAACAGTAAATCATCACTCCCACAGGATCCGAGCATATGGCTTATGCTCCAAGGAGCTCGCTTCCATTCCATCATCTCTGTAAAGGATGCATCCTCCCACCTGGAAGCTCAGGCCAGAACAGAGGACCTATCAATGCTGTGTTGTGCTCAGGTGCAGGGCCCAGCTGGGGAGTCTGAGTGGCAGCCTCAAAGTCAGGGATGGGACAGGCCTTTAAGATCATTCAAAGCAAATACCTCTCTACCCACTTGTGCTCCCCCAGAACCTTCTCAGCTGCAGTGACGACAATCTACCCCTTCCTGCGTTGGTTCTTGGCACTGAGGTTAAAAAGCCAGCCTTGCAGAGGGGTGGCTGGATGTTGGCCCAGGAGTCACAGCTTCTGCCATCACTCCATGCACATGACCGATATACCTTTTGTGAGGCTCACAGCGCCCGCTTGCCCAACCCAAGTAAGGTGGCTGAGAGCCCCCAGGGGAACCTCTGAATCCCTGCTGGGAAGATGAGGGAGGGAAGAGGTAGAGGAGGTAAATCGAGGCCTATGGACTTCGCTGGACTGAGAGAGGCAGGTCCTCCAAAAACGAAGATAGTAATGAGTAAGTGGATGTATACTGAGCACAATTCCTAATAAACTTTTCAAATAGGAAAACCTAAGAGAGGAATTAGGAAAGAAGGAGCCTCTAGACAGGCTCTCACAAAGACATGCCCCAAGGAGCAGCCCTCTGAACAGAGGTGGGCCACCGTCCTCCTCCGGCAATAACCACCCCCCCACCCCACCCCCGCCTCCTGTCTCCTGCACATGGTCCCCGGCCACAGCGACACTGGAGTCCTTGATAATGACTCTCACCTCACCCATCATCCAGGAACCAATGTTTTCTGCTTTAGGAGAAGCCTGGTTCCCCAGTCCAGAGGCCAGGCAGGGGCAGGTCCCTGGAGACAAGCCCTGAGGAGTGAGCCTAATGAGAGTGGAGTGATCGGCAGAGTGAGGTCAGCTGGGGGAGGCCAGTGGGGGCACCCCTGCTTCCTGCCCAGCAAGGGGGTGGGAGGGAGGGAGGCCCTGCCATGGGGATCAGGGGAGCCTGGGTCATTTGCGGAATTAAGAGAATTGACCCAGAGGGGAGGGAAGGGGCGAAGGTCAGCCACCCTAACAAGGAGGGCTGCCTTCTGAGGAGGCTCCCGGGGCTCTGATTTCCCCTGAGTGCCTGATTGTGTCTTTACACACTCACATCAACAGGGGGCTGAGGACAACCTCAATTAGCCTGGAGACCGTCACGCTCCGGGGTTTTGCTCTGCACAGTTTCTTCCGGAAACTCAGAGACAAGCTTGAAGCAGACCCCACCTCCTCCCTGCAGGAGCTCCCCTGTGGGCAGGGGGAGGGAAGGGCAGAGACCCACTGAGCCCCCTTCTGGAGCTGCATTTTTAGCCAAAGCTAAGAGTCCCTCTTCCACAGAGCCTTTTTCTGGAGCTGCCAACCAAGCCAAGTGCCACCTCTCCAGGTTTGGCCTCTCCCCTTCCTAAGGGCCATGCAGGCGAGCAGAGACAGGGCTGGGGTGGGTGGGAAGAGGCCGAGGAGCGGCAGTGGATGGGAGAGATCTGATCTAACCTCACTTTGCAACCAGTGGGAGAAAGTGGCTTCTCCGTGGTCACGTGCACTCCCAGCCAGGCTCTGCGAAATGGAGGTGGGAAGAGGAGGGTGGGGGCGTTGGGGAAAAGCAAGAGGAAAGACAGAGAAACTGGAAGAGAGGGAGGATGGGGGAGGGGGCTCAGAATAGTCAAGGACTCCCAAGCTGACCTCCCACCTGCACCCACAACAGGGGACTGTGGGGCCTCTGTACTGAATCAAACAGGTTTGTTCATTCAGAATGTTAGCGGGGACCCTCCAAAGGAAAGAATGACAGGAGCCCTTAGCTGGTGCTACTGAGAAGGCTTGGAGACTGCTGTGGCCGGAGTGACTGGACTTCAGAAGAGGGGCTGCCTCGCCCTCTGCTGGCCACAGAGCAGCTGTGCACGCAGGCAGTGCCCCACCCTGAGCTTTTCTGAGCACGCCGGCTGAGCTGCCTTCACACACTGACCTCTGCACCCCTACAGGTCACAGACCTAAGGATCTCCTCAAGCAAAGAGAGGCTCTACTCTGCTTTCAGCCTGCAAAGGAGATAGAGCATTAGTCCATCTAATATTTGGGTTGGCTGAGAGAAATGAGCACCTTGGCATAACAGACAAGACACTATCCAAAGCCCTAGGCTGCATGACCTTGGCAATCATACCTGGGCTCTGGGAGCCGCAGTTCACTTCCCTGTGGAACAAGAGTAACGTCCACTGCCACACTGGAAGGGACTGTGGGAGATGCAGTAGAGGACGGTCATAAAGCTTTTCAGCCCAGTGCAGACAAGTGACAGCTGCAGTAAATGGCCGTACCCTTCTCTCTCAGTCCCACAAGAAGGAAATTAATGGCTAGGGCAGGCCTGGGGCATTGGATTTTCTGCCATGATAACCTCCTGAGTTTAACTCTGCCATCTCACCTGTGCTTCAGGGGTCACTGGTGGGGTCAGGCTGAGAGGGGGCGCTGGCTTTGGGAACTAAAGATCTAGGCCTTTTGTAGAATGTAGAGACTTGGCCCAAAGAGGATAAAGGTGAAGCCATGTCAGGCAGACAGAAATTTGTGTGTGCAGATTACAAATGCTTAGTGGTCCCTGCCGCATTGTGGATGTAGTGCTGGATTAGAGGGGATACCAAAAGCTTCATAGAAGAGTTCAAAGGGCCCCACTCCCATCAAACAGCCTCTGCAGGCTGAAAGCTGGGCAGAGCCGCTCTCTACTTGGAGGCCCTCAGGTCTGTGGTTCATAGGGGTGCGGGGGTCAATGTGTGACGGCAGTTCAGCCCAGGGCACCAGAGAAGCTCTGGCTGCTTTATCGACCAAGACTCCAAACGATGAAGGGTTTTAAGTTGAAGAAATGGTATAAAGACAGAACCATGGAAATTGGTGGTGTTTTCAGGGACACAGATACTAGCTGATGCACCCCATATCAGGTGATGAGGCTGGAAAGGAAGCAGAGGTCAGAACGTCATGCTTAGGAACCTGGTCCTTTTCCCACTGTCAACGCCAGGCCAGGGATGTTTTAAGGCAGGGGTCTCGCTATCCAGTCTGCGTGTTAGGAAGCTGAAGTGGACACTTGCCTGGAAGACCCATCATGGAGGAAGAGGGTGGAAGGACTCTAACCTTGGCAAGGAGGGTGGACCAGAACTTCCTGTAAGATGGCAGGAAAGGGAGAGCATGGACAGCTGAGAGGGAAGCCAGGGAACACCAGGTCCCCTCTGTCTTTAAGCCAATGGGAACTGCAGCCTGGCCTGGCAGCCACAGCTGTCGCACCCAATGGGGCAGCTGGGCTGGGAGCAGGACTGTCAGCCTCTGTGTTGCCCATCCACAGCGCTGGCCTTCAGATGGAGGAAGCGCAGCAGGCTGGCCACTGTCACCTGTTGCTGGACACCATCCCGGCCCCAGCTAGGGCTTCGTGCTTAGGCACGATCATAGGACTCAACTCACGGAGCCAGGAGCTGCCCTCCCGCCTCCCCTGATGTAGCCAGTGATAGTCCTGACTTACCTGCTCTTGGCCTCCCATTTGTCACTCGCTGTCATCTCCAACTCCACCTCCTTGTGGTGTGTCCTTCTTCCTGATCTCACCCTGCTCTCATAGATTTGGCATTTTCATGGGGAGGTAAAGAACATGGGCTGAGTGCAGTGGCTCATGCCTGTAATCCCAGCACTTTGGGAAGCCAAGGTGGGCAGATCACAAGGTCAGGAATTTGAGACCAGCCTGGCCAATATGGTGAAACCTCATCTCTACTAAAAATACAAAAATTAGCTGGATGTGGTAGTGTACACCTGTAATCCCAGCTACTTGGGAGGCTGAGACAGGGGAATCGCTTGAACCTAGGAGGTGGAGGTTGCAGTGAGCTGAGATGGCACCACTGCACTCCAGCCTGGGCGACAAAGCGAGACTCCATCTCAGAAAAAGAGAAGAGGTTGAACATAAAAATGGGGCAGTGCTGAGATGGTAGAGCAGAGCCTATGCTATCCCAGAGAAGCAACAAAGGACAAGTGACCCTACCTGTGCCTCCGGACAAGTAGGGTCAGAAATAGGGTGCAGAGAAATAGGCAAGGGCACATGCCTTTGGGAAGAGTTAGACCCTGGGGACTTGGAAGGGAAAGGAACCCCAGATGAAGAGAGAAGAGAGCCCCTGTCTGGCTCAGCCCGAAGGTACCATCCTAGCAAAGCTGCTGGAGGGAAAAGGAGGCAGGGACGGCAGGGAAGGTATGCAGTAGGTAAGCGACCAATGGGGGGCTGCTGCCCCTGGTCCCACCCCACAGCCCAGGTTCCAGGTACAGCTCTCAACCATGGAGTAGTAGGTAGATCACGAGCAAGTCACCTTCCCTTGCTGAACTTGCATTCCTCTAGGTGGGCCTCTCTCTCTCTGGGGGCCTTTCCTGCTCTGTGACCTGTAACTTGGGCCCTCCTGCAAGTTCACATAGCTGAGGGCAGGGGCCCACATGGCTGCCACCAGGGTAAGGTCTTCGGTGCTCAGCATGAAAGGAACAGCCATCCCAGCCTCCAGACTAGCCATTCTCACCCACATCCTTGCGGGCTGACAGGCCCTGAGTCTGGTCCTCTCCTCATCCTTTCTCTTATTTTGTCCTCTAGGGAGAACGGGGCATGCCAGGGATGCCAGGCAAGCATGGAGCCAAGGTACCTTCCCCTTCCCCACATTCAGGCAGCTCAAAGGCCCCGCCCCCTCTCTCCGCAGGTCCAGGGAGCCTCTGGAGTCCCAGCTCTCTGGGCCTCCTTTTGCCTGCCCTGGCCCTCCAAGCTGCAGCACTCTGGTCTCTCATGAGTGCCCCTTGATGTAGGCAGCCTCCTCCTGGGCATCTCTGGGTCATTAAAAGCCATCCAAAGTACCCCCAGCTCCACTGCATTCCTAAAACCTAAGTGGAAAGGAAGGATCCCCCAAAATCACCTCCACTTCGGATTTGCTAAGGGGCACTTTGGGCGTCATATATCCTTCAAATTAGGTGGCCTTGAGCTGCTCAGGTGGTTGGGAAGCCCAGGGAGACCCGAAGGCTGAGCTGTACAAAGCCTCTTCCTCCAGATCCATTCTTAAGGTGTCAGCTCAGCACCTGCACCTCCCAGGGCAGGGTTGGTGGTTGCAGGGTTGGGAGAAGTGAGTGAGTGGTCCTCCTTCCCATTTCACCACGGGGAGGCTGTCCACTGCTCCACACTGCCCCCCCCAACTGTTCCCTTGCTGCAGAACATCTTCAGACCTTTTTTTTTTTCTGTCTTCCAGGGGACTCCCGGAATTGCTGTGGCTGGGATGAAGGTCAGTGGACTGTTGTAACCAACACATCAGGGACAGGTGGGAGATGTGAGCGGTCAGAGCTGGGAATTGTAGGCTCAGTGGGGTAACTACCAGACCAAAGAGGGGGCAGGCAGGATTTGGAAACATTTTTCTCAAAGTAACATTTGTGCCAGGTGCATAACCTTGAGCCACAGATGTGTAACTAAGCCTTGCAAGTAACTGAAGTTCTCACTAGCCTGCCAGTGCACCAAGGCAGTGGGAAGGCAGCCCAGATCTTTCCTTTATGTTCTGTAATTCAGCAGCTATAGGTTTCCAAAGCTTCAGGGACAGCAGGAGTTCTTCTCCAAACCCCCACCCTAATTGCCCATTTGGTTGGCCGGCAGATGTGCGGACTGCCTGGAAAAGCAAGTGCTCAAAGTCGATCTTCACGGCAGGTCCACTTGCAGGGAGCACCATGTCCAAACCAAATACCCATTCCTTCCTCTCCTTCCTCCCGGGCTGCCTCACTTACACTCCCATCTGCCACACCCCTCACCTCGGGGAAGAGTAGGACCCTCTAAGGGTCAGAAGCCTGATGCCTGAACAGAGAAAAGCCAGGGCTGGCCAGATGCTTCACTAACCCACCCTGACTCTTCCCCCCGACAACCAACAGGTGCCTTGCTCATTTGTCATTTCTTTCTGCTTTTACAGTCTCTCAGATTTGTTTCTCTTTTTCCACACAGGGTGAGCCAGGGATCCCAGGAACCAAGGTACTGATGCAGAGAGAATGTTCTGAGCTGCACAGAGCGTCAGTCATGAGGCGGAGGTGGGAGGGGCTGCTGCTGTTTTGCTCTTAGTCCCCATGAGGCTGGCCTGGGGCTGGGGACCTGGCTGAGCAGAGAAGGGCCCACTGTTCAGGAGCACACTGCAAATGCTTCCCCCTCCCTGGGTCCTGGCCTGCAGGCACGCCAGCTGCAGCAGGCAGTGACTCTTGTCCCCTGCACCTTCAGGGCTCCCTTTCTCTCTTGTGTGACAATAAGAGATGTGACAAGAAAAAAATTTCCATGGTCAAATAATTTTGAGAAATACTAGGTTAAAAATATTACACAGGTTTCTTTGCTGCAGACCTTCTCAGAACCTTTAATTTGCTAAATATGCATTGAGGAACTCTCAAAAGGAAATATCTTATGTGGCATTTTCAAAACTTTTTTGACAAGAACACCCTTTTTAAGAGAAGAGCTTAAGGGACAAGTATTCTGGAAATGCTGGTCAATGATCACTGCCCATCCTACCTCTTACTCCCTGCCCCACCTTCTTATCAGTGACTTTCTCTTCTTACCCCAAAGGGAGACCCAGGAGCAGAAGGGAAGCCGGGGCCCCCAGGTTTGCTGGGAAAAAGGGGGCAGAGGGTAGGATATCATGTATTTGAGTGTGCGCCCTCTCGTCCTGGCTTGGCCGGTCCCCTGCTCCCTGCCCCTCCTCTGGCTGGTGTGTCTCCTGCAGCATGCTGTTGGTGCATGTGTCCTGGAATGAGGGAAGTGGCGGGATGGCCTGGCCAATCTTCAGAAACCCACACTCAAGAGCATACACACTCTCCTGGGGAGCCTTGATTACCCAGCAGAAAGCCCAGCAGGAGGAGGAAACTGCCTCCCTCCGCTCCTGTTCCCCAAGGATCTCCATAGGTCAGGACCCAAATCCTTTCCTTCTCCACCTGCCCTGCTTCTGAAGGATGCCCAGAATAAGCACATCTACAGGAGCAGCCCAGGAAAGACAGGGCAGCGGGGGCTCCCTCCCGCCGCCAGGACCTCTGCCTGGCCCTCCACAACACCTCCTGGCCAGCATTGGGCCACTTTACCATTCAGCTGCTACCCCGGGGCAGGTGACAAGGAGGCAACACCCAAAGACACTTTGGCACCTTTTGTGGCTCCAGCTGGAATGTTCATTGAGACATCTGACCAAATTATAGGCCCAGAGCCCTCAGCTCACATTATTATACCGGAGAGCTGCCTCTCCCCAGGGCCAAGGGGAGCGAAGCTTCTTGTGCTGACCTGATACCCCCACCCTGCTGGTGGGGTGCTCTTGGGTGCTCACCTGATATTGGACACTGCTATGCACTGAGTGTGTCCCTCCCAGACCCATATGTTGAAGCCCTTGCCTTCAGTGTGGCTGTATTTAGATAGGGACTTGGGGAGGTCATTAAAGTTAAATGAGGTCATAAGGGTGAGGCCCTAATCCAATGGGATTGGCAGCCCTAGAAAAAGGGAATGAGAGAGACCTTTGAAAGACCTTTCTTCTTGCCATGAGAACATGGCAAGAAGGCTGTCATCTTCAAGCTGGCAAGAGGGCTCTCACCAGAACCTGGCCATACTGGCTCCTGATTCAGACTTCCAGCTTCCAGAGCTGCAAGAAAATACATTTCTGCTGGCAAAGCCACCCAGACTATAGAGTTTGTTATGGCTCCTGAGCTGACCAAGGCAGATGCTCTGTGAAGCGTCTGTGTCCTAGAAGGTGGAGCATCAAGGAGACATGGGCTCGACCCGCCTCTGCCTCTAACTCAGTAAAGGGTTGGCCACATAACGTCTTGGGGCTTCCCTCGCCAAATCTGTGAAATGAGAATGGGGTTCAGTATCTCTAAGGGACTCTTTGATTCATGTCATGGGGGAAAAAAGTTCTTCCATAGTGGAAGAAGCTGGGTAAGGAAGTGTACTATTTTGCTAGGGCTGTGGTGCCACAGGCTGGGTGGTTTGAGCAACAGAAATTCATTGTCCCATGGTTCTGGAAGCTGGAAGTCCAAAAGCAAGGTGTTAGCAGGGTGTGTTCTGTCTGAGGGCCGAGGGGGAGATTGCTCCAGGCCTCTCTCCTGGCTTCTGGTGCCTCCTGCAGTCTTTGGCATTCCCTGGCTTATAGACACAGCACCCCAATCTCTGCCTCCATCTCCACATGGCATTTCCCTGTGTGCATGTCTGTGTCCAAATTTCTCCCTTTTATAAGGACATCAGCACGTTGAATAGGGTCTCACCCTACTCCAGTGTGACCTCATCCTAACTCATTACATTTGTAATGACCCTATGTCCAAATACAGTGAGCTGGTTATAGCTAGAGGCAGAGAAGGGGTGCCAGCAAAGACTGGGGGCCCTTAGTTGCTAAGCATTAAGAATCTAAAGAAGAGCAGAGTGGTGAAAAGGATTCACTTGCCCAACCACTGGCATTCTGAACTGCTCACCTCGCCCAGGAGACCCCCAGGATGTACTAGATGCTTCTGGCCTTTGTTATGATTTGTGGCCCATGTCATTTCTCCCCAGCATGAGTGACATGGGCCCGGGTCACATGGGAGTAAGGAAAGCAGTCATGCAGGTGTCACCAGTGCAAAGTGGCCCAGAGAGTAGCCAGCCAGGATCGGGGCTGAGGGGAGGTAGAGCTCTTTGGAAAGCCAGCTAGGGCAGGGGCAGGGGGCAGGAGCAAGGGAAGGCAAGGCCCTAAGCCGTGGGGCTGGTGGCTTCCCAGACCTGCTGCAGAAACTCTTCCTAACCCCCACTGTCTGCATCTCCCTGCAGGGTGAGAAGGGGGCTGCAGGCTCCCCTGGGCTTCCTGGCCTCTTGGGGCAGAAGGTAGGTGTCGCTCTGAATGGAGGGTTCAGGTTCTTTGTCACCCATATCCCATACACAGCCCTGCACATCCACACGAGCCCCAGCATTGGATGTGTCTGTCGCCCAGACTGTGGGAAAGGCAGCCGGAATACAGCTAGATTCTGTTTGTCAGGGGACAGGTGCCCTAGGCAGGCCCTGATTGGCAAAAATAAAACGTGAAAAATTCGGTAGCGATGACCTGGTCAGATTTCTTTGTACCACCTCTGCAAATGCATCCCACAGTTCATGAGCTCTGTAAGATATTTCATTTAGAAAAAAATTTAAAAAGATGAGGCCAAATACGGGAGATGTGTATAATAAGATGGGCCCCTTGGAAAGTCACAGTGCCCCTCAACCTGTTAGAGGCCTGAGCACCTGCAGTGACAGGGTCTGCAAAGCCTTATTTAACGCTGCATTTCTTAGCATAGTTTGGCCACCAATAACAATGTTATTCCACATTTTAAATATTCTTAACCCACTGAGCAGTGTTCCGTGGAATACACTTTGAGAAACACTGCTGCAGACCCAGCTGTGAAGGGTCCTTTGTGTCAGCTCTAAACCTGTTGCCCTTCAGTAAACACTTCCAATCTCTCCTCAAATCCCATGGAACCATCAGGCTGGGGTTCTGAAGGCCCCTGGTCCCCAGACATCCTGGGGCCGACAGCCCATAGTGTCCCTCTGGAGCTCAGTCTAGATCTTCCTCCACACCAGGGATGCTAACTCCACCTTCCACCCCCAGGGAGAGAAAGGTGATGCTGGCAACTCCATTGGAGGAGGCAGAGGGGAACCTGGCCCTCCAGGGCTCCCTGGGCCCCCAGGGCCCCCAGGGCCAAAGGTGAGTGTTCCCTGGAGTCAGTGTTGGGAGGTGTTTGCCTGGGGCCTTTATCTTCAGCCTGTTCTCAGACTGTCCAAGTTCTCAGATGTCCAGACTCTACGTCTTGGACATCCCGCCTTCTCTAGCCTTCCCCTGCTCCAGGTGTGTGGTTTTTCCCATGGATTCCAAAAAGGTCATTTGGACCCGGGTCCTGTTCCAAACAGATGGGGCAGATGGATGGTCCCATTGACTCAGATGACTCTGATGTAGCTGAGCCCAGGCCCAATGGCTGCAGGGCCTCGATTGCTATGATGTAACTGAGCGAGGAACCAATGGCTTCAGGGCCTTAGGACAGCCAAGAGGCCCCCCACCTTGGCTCTGAGTAGGTTGCAGGTCAATTATCAGCTGAGACTCACCTAGTACCAGCACATCTGGTAGGTGGCAGCAGTGGGGGCAGCTGCAAATGGGCACAGCCCTCACTTTCCTTTTGCTGCTTGAAAAGTGCAATGGTAAGATTTGGATTTCCCAGAGTAGATGCCTCCTATTGGTTTGCTTTAGCAGCACTGAGAAATGAAGGGGTCTCTTTGTTAGCTCAGAAGGAAAGCATGCATTACTCTACACGATCTGGAGCAATACATTCGTGCATTCCGCCCACACCCACCTGCCGTGGGCTGGGCTCTGCATGGGCATAGGAGGGCCTGGCAGGGCAGAGTGGACACCAGTAAAGGGTACAGAATGCGGTGGAGGAAAACAGGGGTGGGCTTCCAGAGGAAGCGAGATTCAGGCTGGGCCCAAGGGTGGGTAGAAGTCAGGGAGGTGGAACAGTGGGAGGTGCAGAAGCCATGGGGGAAAGGGGCCCACGGGCAACACCCATGAGCAACAAGGCCATCTTTTCCCCCGTAAGCAGCTACAGGTGCCCAGCGTGCCTTCAACCCAACTCTCTCCTCTCCCCCAGGGAGAAGCAGGTGTCGATGGCCAGGTTGGCCCCCCAGGGCAGCAAGGAGACAAGGTACAGACACCCCCCCCCGACATTCCAGAGCTGCAAGATGGGGGTCAGCTTGGGAGGTTAAGAATCATGCCGGCCCACCCTAGGGCTAGCCCTCAGAGCACAAGGCTGACTGGCCATGACCCCTGGCTTCCCTATTTCCTGGTTGGCTTGCGCTTTAGAGAGCCAGCCACTGAGACAACAGCCGTGCAGAAGCCAGTCTAGGGATGGGACACTTGGCCAGGAAGTGACACAGCACTTCCTCAGCCACTGGTGAACGAACGAGGTGCTCTCGTTTCTCTCCAGCGACTCCCTATGAAAGGCTGCAGCGTCCCTCATGAGTTCACCGTGACTCAAGTGCTGTGGCAGTGGAGGAGAAAGAGGGTGGGATACCTGGAGGTGGCAGTGGCCTCGTGTCCTGTGAGCAGGGTCATCAGGAGTCACACCAAAGGGTTCCTGTTTTGTTTATTTTTACTTCCTCACTTGATTTTTGTCAATTGTCTTCAATTATCCCAGAAAAATTGAAACTGCGCTTGGTTTTTCACAAGTTACACCGCTTTTTCATGTATTCCCCCTAGCTCTGTACTGTTTGCCACAGGAAGAAATCCTTCCACCCGCCCACTCTAGGAGGTGGGTGCTCATACACCCATATCCTCCTGAGACCTTCCTGACCCTCCATGTCTCCCGTGGCACTCTGGGTCTTTCACAAGTAGAGTGGGCAGTAAAAGAACCACGTGGGCTCTCGATAGTAACTGCCACTCAGACAATTGGCAAAAAGTTGCTGAGCCCTGGATACCTGAGCAGAATGGAATTAAAGGGAAGCAAATGTCCCTGACCCCATGAAGGCAGCTGACTTAGGGGACTGGGGAAAAGAGGGGGACAAAAGGGAGTCACTAACAACAAACACAGAACAGAAAAAAGTGTCACCGAGTCTGAATTGGGAGGCAGCACAGAGGAGCTTAAAGGGAGAGAGGAGTGCGGGTGGGTGTTCCCGGGATGTCTCCTGAAGGGGCAGAGCCTGCTCTTCTGTGAACTAAGAGCTAAGATGAGCCTCCTGGCCCTTATCACGTGGCCTATCTGGGGACATCAGGTTCTCTGTACCAACCTTATCCCCACTTCACTCCAATTTTTCATGCAACAGGGGGAGCCTGGAGAACCGGGAGCAGCTGGAGAACCAGGAGCAGCTGGCCCCAAGGTATGTGCCTCTCCCCACTGGAGTCAGCATGAACCAGCTGATAAATCCAAAAGCCTCTGAGACAGGTCTCAATTAATATTTAGAAATTTATTTTGCCAAGATTAAGGGCGTGTGCCCAAGAGACAGGTACAGGTCTGTGCCTTTTGCCAAAGATGATTTAGAGGGCTTCGGTATTTAAAGGGGAAAAGCAGGCTGGAGGGGAAAGAGGAAGGGTATGGTAATCCACACATGGCCAGGGAAAAGGAGCAAGTAGGGGAATAGTCAGTTAGGTATTAGCCTCATGCTCAGTAAATCGGCACTTTACATGAGCTGTGGGGATATTTGAACTTTATCTGTAGCTCCCTGCTTAGGAACAAAAGGAAAGGCAGCTTCTTGCATGACTCAGCTTTCTGCTGAACTTTTTCTCTCTTGCCAGAGTGAACTGGAGTCCTATCTTCCTTTCACAGGCCTGACCTTGGGGTCTTGAGGGGGAAGGAGGGTAAGAGCATTCTGGCCGGCAGGTGGGAGGTCTGACTGGCAGCCTAGGTGGACTGAAAGTTCCCAGGACAGCCTGGCCCAGACTTCTCACATGGAGTCTTCTCAGTTTGTTCTGCAGTCCCCGAGCATCCTTTGAGAGTGTTCGGAATCCTCAGGGCCCCTCTGGCCCTTCTGGGTCCACCTGTGTACAGGCTTGTGCGGCCAGTGTGGGCTGATAGAGAGCAGGCCACAGTTGCCCTCCCAGCCCTCCCGGTCCAGGCCCTGGGTTGAGATCTCATTTGCCTTCTAGGGCTCCAAGGGAGAACCAGGAAAAGGAGAGATGGTGGATTACAATGGAAACATCAATGAGGCTCTCCAGGTGAGAGGAGGGTGTCCAGCCCCGAGGCCGAGATCCTCATGGGCCTCAGGGCTCTGCACCATGCCCTGATCAGGGGGTTCTTCCACACAGCAGAGTAGGGGCCCTGCCCTCAGGCCCTCAGGCCGAGCTGCCAGGAGAGCCACTTCCTCCTCTTTGGCCGCCCACTGTGTAGCCTCCTGGCAAGTGGCCCCCGGCGGCTGGGCTCTCTGTCTGGCGCCAGCTGGCCAGTTATCCTGCCTCTGGGTACCTGAGAGCCGCAGTGGAATTCTCCTGGCACCCTGCAGGGTGCAGCTCATCCAGGGTACTGGGGCCCCATTTCTTTAGTGCATGCCTAACCCCCTTTCACACAGCAGAAACTCTTCCTGGAACACATCTCCTTTAGTGTGAATTTAATCCTGTTTCAAGTTCACGAGCTCCCGCTCCCCACCCTTTAAAGCAGGGTTTCTCAGCCTTGGCACTGTTGGCATGTGGGGCTGGAGAATCTCTGTGGTGGGAGGAGAGATGGTCCTGTATCTTGTGCAGCAGCGTCCCTGGTGTCTACCCAGCAGACGCCAGGAGCACCCCAGCCTCAGCTGTGACAACAAACTGTGTCTCCAGACACGACCTATTGTCCCTTGGGGTAAGAAACTGCCCCCACTCAAGAACCGCTTCTTCAAAGGAGTCTGTGTCCATGTGCGACTCCATTTACAAGGTGTAAAATTCTCTTTGAAAGCCAACAGTCATCTCTCTGATCTATTTTTTGAGCGGCTCGGTATTTTGCTATACTGTGTCTGTTTAAAGGGAGGTGCGTGGCAACCTTGAAATCTGGGTTCTGGGAGCAGAGGAAAGACCAAGGGCAGGTCCTCAGAAGGTGCCTAGAAACAGTAAGAGGTGGTGCTTCCTTCCCTTTCAGTAAAGTGAAGTAAAGGTTGTAGTCTATTTAGGGCGGTGCCTGAGTCCCTTGCAGGACAGCCTCGGAGTATAATCATGCTTAGATGCTGCGTATTTCCTGTACAGTGACTACAAACCTCAGAGAGAGGTGGGGGTGGGGGTGGGGTGAGTCTGGGGGCTGTGGAGCCCACCTGCGAGGGTCCCCCTCCTCCCGTGCTCCTTTGGGGGCCCAGCCCCCATGTTTCCATGACTGTGCAGTGAGAACCAAACCTTACACTTGGCTCTTGATTTGCTCTTCAACTGATTGTGTGATGTTGGTTTTTTAGGAGATCCGGACGCTGGCCTTGATGGTAAGTCTCGCTCCTCCTGGATTTCCTTGAGCACTGGGCGGGGGGCTGGGACAGCAGCCGGGAAGCAAGGACGTGAGTGCTCCCTCCAGAATGCAGACACTGGGCTGCAGATCGAGGGTGACCCGGCAGTGTTGGGGCAGACGATGATCTGAGCTGGAGGTGACAAGTCAGGACTGGTGGGAGCATGCCCTGGGTCATGGCTGTCCTCTGTGTAAAGGCCCTTCACCAATACAGCTGTGCTCTCTGGTGACAATACAAATGCTGGGTTTTGTTTACAGCTGTGTCAAGGAAATAGTAGTACAGAAGAGGAAGTTTTTAATGTTTTTTTTTTCCCAACTTTTAGCTAATTAAATCCATTACCCCAAAAAACTAGCAGCAACCTTCCACCTAGCCCCCTTTCCTGGAAATCAATTTCATTATCTGCGCTTGGAAAACCAGGGAGTTTCAAGCCTGGGTTTTGTACAGGTGCCTACCAGTGACAGGCTCGTGGTAAATATTTGTAGTTAAAATGACCACCACCAAGTTTAACTTGTAAGGTGGAGGAGGAGAGATCGTGAGGTTCTCTGACTACTGAAATTTCAATTCACCTAATATTTTTTCATGGCTAAGAGTTACCGAACACATTTAGGGATGGCACAAACTCACAATCAAACACCACTTGTATGATATCCCAATCCAGAAACTGCTGTCAATGACATGGTTCTGGAATCAATGAGCTTCATTTTGAGTCATTGAAATATATTATTTGGCAGGGTGCAGTGGCTCACGCCTGTAATCCCAGCACTTTGGGATGCTGAGGTGGGTGGATCACTTGAGGTCAGGAGTTCAAGACCAGCCTGGCCAACATGATGCAACCCCATCTGTACTAAAAATACAAAAATCAGCCAGGCGTGGTGGCAGGTGCTGTAATCCCAGCTACTCAGGAGGCTGAGGTATGACAATCACTTGAACCCAGGAGGCGGAGCTTGCAGTGAGTTGAGATCGCACCACTGCACTCCAGCCTGGGTGACAGAGTAAGACTCTGTCTTAATAATGATAATAATGTGAAATAGCTATTGGAAATAAAACTTTCCCAGAAACATTTTTTTTTTAAAATCAACCTTGAGGTGTAACTTATGCATAATAAAAGGTACTAATTTTAGGTGTAGAGTTTGATGAGTTTTGATAAGTGTAAATACCCAGGTATTCATGCACCTTGGGAGCCCTTCCCAGCCCCAGGTCACCACTGCACTGCCATCACTTCTGTCACTGCAGATTAGATGTGTCTTTTGTCTCCTCTAGAGTTTCATATAACTGGAATCACGTGGTATGCAGTCACCTGTGCCTGACTGCCTTTGCTCAGCAGAGTGTGTTTGAGATGCACCCGTGTCATCAGCACTTGGTTCTTTTTCTCTGCTAAGTAGTATTTCATTGTATGGATGTACCATGCATTCCCCTGTTGATGGGCTTTTGGGTTGTTTCCTGGAGACATGTTTAAGTCATTATTCGGGAAGGTCAGACTTAGCTTCTTGGAGCCCAAAGGGCCACCAGAGGTACCCTAGAGAGAAGGAGAGGGAGAGGGAATTGGGCGTGGCTCTCCAAACCCCACCCCCACTTCAACCCAGTCACACTTGGTGCTTGTATGTTTTGCATTTTGGGTTTCCCCATGTTATTTTCTTTGCAAAAAATATGTTTCTATCACTGGAGAAATGCTTGAAAACAACTTATCTCTACAAGCCAGCCTCCACATACAGCCCCCTGGGGACAGGCCGCCCTCCTCAGTGGGACAGTTCTTCCATGTGTCTTTCCCTTCTTTCCTAGGGGCCTCCTGGTCTTCCTGGGCAAATCGGCCCACCTGGAGCTCCAGGGATTCCAGGCCAAAAGGTAAATCTTGTCTTGACAAAGTGGGTGAAGACCTTGCAAAGGCAGTGACCCCAGGGCTTCCCCTCGTCCTGCGACCCTCTCACCTTCCCAGCACCACCACCCTCCTGCTGCTCCAAGGCACCGAGGGCCCCGCCCACCCACCTCCCAGCCGCTGTGGCCCTTCTGTCCTCCCCTTGCCATCTGCTTGGGCTCCTGTAATTCACAGAGCCTTCTGATGCCATGGGGCCTGGGACTAGACACACCCCTGCCCTTGCTTCAACCAGACCCACAGCAGGAGTGAGGGCGCCATCAGGGACCTCAGCATTTGAGCCTCTCCCCAACCCTCCTCCCTGGCTTCCTGCCCTTGCTTTCCTCTTACACTCCACCCGCCTCTGTGTTTTTCTCAGAAGGTCTGCCCCTCTGTCTTCCATGCATGAGGTCCTCTCCCCTGAAAGTCTCTTTCCCCCTTCCCTTTCTTTCAAAGCCCTTCTCAACTTTCAAGCCCAATTCAAAGGCCACCTCCTCCTTGAAGCCTCCCCTGATCTAGCAGGCAGAATTCTCTGCCCTTTCTTCTGCTTCTCTGGGTAGGGGACCTACATCATTTTGCCACCTCCTTTAACTCTCCACCCAACCCAGAGAAGGGGCTTGGTGTGTGTGAAGAGGAAGGGAGCTCCTGTGGAGCAGCCAGGGCAGGGGCTCTGCCTTCAGAGGAGACCTGAAGGTGAGAACCCTTCTGCACATGAGCCAGGGAGCCCAGGGCTCTCAGAGGCAGTAGTGCAAGGTTGTGGCTAAAACGTGGACATGGAGTTAGAGCACCTGGACTGGGATGCTGGCTCACCAGTTCACTCACTGTGGGCCTCAGGCACACAGCTCTGTGCTTTGGGGTCCTGTCTGTAGAAGAGAGGCAATGCAAGTTAATACCTCCCAGGAACACGGTGGGAACTAAATGAGCAAACTCTATGGGGAAGTGCGGAGAGGGACGCTGGGTGCACTAAGCAATGCGTAACTGGTGGCTGCTATGGTCTCTGCCTGGAGAGTCACCTTTAGTTGTTCTGGCTACAGGGGGAGATTGGACTGCCAGGCCCTCCAGGACACGATGGGGAAAAGGTATGAACAGACAACCTCCAGTCAAAACTCTGAAGACAGTCCTGGCCCTGGGGGCAGGAAGGCTCTAGATCTGGCCCTGGTGTGCGCCCAGTGGGCAAGGGGAGATGGGAAGGGCGGGGAGAGGGGCCCACCCTGCAAGCCCCACGAGGAGCCAGGCAGATCCCGGCTGGGCTCTCTGTGCCTGCCCCTATCAAGCACCAAAGAGCCAAGGCCTTTGGACTTTTCTATTCTCTCTCCCTCTCTCCTTTTTTCTCCATTAATGTGTCTAAGAAGCATTGTTGGTATTTTCTAAAGGGACCTCGCGGTAAACCAGGAGACATGGGCCCTCCTGGTCCCCAAGGCCCCCCAGGAAAGGATGGACCTCCAGGAATGAAGGGAGAAAACGGGAACCCAGGGAGCCCAGGAGAGAAGGGGGAGAAAGGGGAGACAGGACAAGCAGGCTTGCCGGTGAGTGGCAGGGCTGACTGCCCTTCCGTGCATACACCACTCCCAAGCATGACACCAGCTTTGCAGGGCTTTGTACTTTGCATGGTGCCAGCCAGCAGCTGCCTGGACTAGAAACCTGGGGCCAGGACTTCGGGGTGGGGGAGACACTCACTTTATGAAGGCCCATTTCCTGACTCAGGAGACCTGAGTCCTGCTCTGTCATCTATATCCTTGGGAAAGCCATTGAGCCTTGCAGAGCCCCCATCTCCTCATCTCTAAAATGGCGATAATAATGTCTTCCCTGAATATCTCACTGAATTGTTGGGAAAGTGATCAAGTCATGGTTTAAAGTTGCCTCTTTGGAAAGTGTGCAGAAGCCCTATACCCAGGAGAGGTTGCATGTACAGAAATGGGGCCTTCGCCCAGTCCACTAGGCTGCCCACTTGACTTGGGAGCCTTCTCTGGGTCTCAGTGGTTTCCATCTGTGAAATCGGTGCCATCCTAGACACTTACCCTTGGAGCAAGAGAGCCACATCGTGTGCATGCCACAGTTCGTCACAGACACTCAGCAAGGCCACCATGAGCTCCAGTAACAGAGATGGTTGTCGATCTGTAGGGTCTAGACCTTCTAACTGGGGAGAAAAGGAGAACTTGGTGGCCATGGCAGACCCAGAGTGGCAGGATTGCCTAATCCAGCTAGGCCCCTGGGGTTTACAGTGAGGCCAGAGGGCTGAGTGTCCAGGTTGTCTGCAGGCAGCCACAGATGAGGGTCCTCCCTGGGGCAACCAGCCTGGCGGGTGCCTGGCACTGTGACAAGGCTGCCGTAACCCCAAGCCTGGCTACCCAGCCTGGGTTGAAGGGGATCCTCTTAAACATGGATCTGCTACTGCATTTGAGTATGAACAGAGGTTGCAGCTTCCTTGACTCCCAGTCTGATGGCCTCTAGAAGCACCAACCTATTTTGAAGGTGCTAGAATCTTAGGCTCAGAATTCTCCTCTAGGGAGTGGATAGAGCCTCAGAAGTCAACCAGTCCCAAGTCTGACCCAGTGCAGGACTCCCTCACTCTGTCGGCACAAGCAAGCAGCTCCACTGCACCGTAGAGCAGCCCCAGGATGGAGAGGGCACTCCTGGATGTGGTATGGAAGCTCCCCTGTCAGCCTCCCCCAGTTGACCCCTCAGAAGCTCTGGCCTCGGGAGCCATATTCATTATCTACTACTGCATAGCTAATCACTGCAAAGGTAGCAGCTTAAGACAATACACATTTATTGGCACACAGTTTGTGGGCCAGGAGTTCAGGCACATTCTACTTGGGTCCCCTGCCTGTGGTCTCATGAGACTGCAATTAATGTGTCAGCCAACTGCATTCTCATCTGGAACTAGGGATCCCCTTCCAAGCTCACTGGCACTGACAGAATCCAGTTCCTTGCTGGAACAGAACTCACCTCCTAGATGCCACCTACAGTTCCTGCCATGTGCGCCCCACCCCAGCCCCCACCACAGTAGACAGTTCACAGTACAGCAACTGGCTTCTTCAAGGACAAGGTCAGCAGGAAGGTCTCTCTAGCGTCTAGTGCTAGCAAGACAGAGCTGTGTGCATGTGTGTTTGTGTGTTCATGTAACATATTTCTAACATCTTCACATATATGTCACCATCTGTATGTCACATGTTGTAATCTGTGACATCATCATAGAAGTGAGGTCCCATCACTTTTGTCAGGTGCCTTACTCCACGGCCAAGAAACAAGTCACAGGTCACCCTAAGGCCTGTCCACTGCAGAGTCCATAGAGAGTATCAGCCTCTCCTCCCTTGTACTAGAGCCTCAGATTCTTTAAGACACTGTTGATAGTCCCTGCCCCACAGCTGACACCTCCACATCCTCCATGGTGTTCCTTGCTGACACCTAGGCCAGTCGAGTCCCAGTCTAGTTTGTCACAGATCTGAGGGCGCATCTGTGCCCAGGCTTTCTCAATGACTGGCATTCATGCAATGGTGTTTTGTGCCCACAGGGAGAGAAAGGAGAAGCCGGGGAGAAGGGCAATCCAGGAGCAGAGGTACATGGGACATAATTTGACAGAGACTCATCAAATGACAGTCTCTGCAGAATGCACAGAATTTCTGTGCTTTAGAATGCAGCTTGCAAGTGCCTGACATTCACGTTTACTGAGCACCGCCGTAGGTCAGGCGCTGAGCCTCAGGACTGCTCCAATCTTCCCATTAACCACATCTCTCACTAACCTTCACAGAGCATCTCCTGTGCTTCCATTCTGGGGCTAGAGGCTGGAGATACGAAAATAAACAGAACTTGCCAGACATGGTGCCTCATGCCTGTAATCCCAGCACTTTGGGAGGCTGAGGCGGGCAAATCCACCTGAGGTCAGGAGCTTGAGACCAGGCTGGCCAACATGGTGAAACCCCGTCTCTACTAAAAATACAAAATGAGTCAGGTGTGGTGGTGGGCACCTGTAATCCCAGCTACTTGGGAGGCTGAGGCAGGAGAACTGCTTGAACGCAGGAGGCAAAGGTTGCAGTGAGCCAGGATTGCACCACTGCACTCCAGCATGGGCAACAGAGTGAGACTCTGCCTCAAAACAAACAAAAAGGAAAATGAAAGAAAGAAAAACAGAACCATCCCTCCACAGCTCACAGTACCCCGTAATGGTCACTAGCATGGGAGCAACTTAGGGAATCAGGCAAGCATCCCAAAAGAAGTCTACATGGGCAGGGTCTTGATGACTTTGTAGAAGTGGGCCACAGAGTTTCAGAGGTAGGCTTTCCAGATAGAGAGGGATTATTCTTTTGAGAAGTGAGGTGGTAAAAGGAAGAGAAGACAGAACAGCTGAGTAAGAAGTAGTCAGGATGGAGGCAAGATTTTCAAAAGACAGCAGAGAATCAGCCATATTTGTAGGCTTAGGGGCAAGAACCAAGAAAGCAACAGAGATCAATGATGCATGCGACGCAGGATGTTTGATGGAAGGGTCTGGGCACCCAAGTAGCACCTCGGACCCATGGGAGAGACTCCAAACCTTCTCAGTCCCCAGCAGGGTTCACCTTGCCACGCCCTGTCTGAATTTAGCGAAACAGACCTGATGCTTGTACGATGCGTATGGTACTTGTTTAGAAATGGATAGCCTCCTAAAGAAATGATTTGCATCCAGGAAAAGCATTATAGACACACTGTCCCTCCCAGAAGTATTTAAAATAAAAATTAGAAACAGCCTACATTTCTATCAAGAAGGAAAGGATTAAATAATGTATGGTCATAATACTAACAGTAATGCTAGTCACCGCGTCTGAGCGCTTTTCCTACGTCCTGGCTAGGTAACGACTCATTTTCATTCACTCCACCAATAGCACAGTACCATTACCAGGAAGCTGGGGGGGACGTATAAAAAAATGGAAAAATTGGTTTCACATTAAGTGAAAAAGAGTAGAAAACCACATTTTGTATATATTTGAAATCATAAGCATATACATCTATGTATATATAATTATATGTATATTATATATGAATATCAAAAGTATATACATCATATATTCAAGCACTTCTGATACACCAAAAAAGTTTAAATATCTGAAATCTTTTTATAATTTTTAAAACTGCCACACAGGAAAACTGACTTCAGGAGTATGGCCAGTTCTGTGAATGCAAATACATGTAGAGATTTGTATAACCAATACCATGATTGGGATACGTAAACTTTTATTTAAAATGGTAAGCTTTTGTTTAAGAAGGCAGAGCTTCCAAAGATTGTGCTCCTCACAAGGAGACTGTGATGGGGCAGAAACGTCCACAGGTCCAGGAAACAATAGGGACCTCCTCTCTGCCCAGTGTAGGGGTGCCCTCTGTCATGGCCTGCCAGGGGAGTCACTGCCCTGGCCACACTCCACGGAATTCTACCCCTGGGAAGACAAGGCACCTAAGGAGAGCCCTGAAGCCGAGGTGGGGTGAACAGCTCCGAAGGACCCGGCAATGGCCGCCTGTGGACAAATGGATGTCTGCACTCATCAGAGACAGAACACTGTCTATGCAACAGGCACCAACCTCCATAGAGGAGATAGCCTGAGCTCCTCCATCCTCACTGTCCAGTCAGAATCTCCTCTACCACAATCTGCATCTGCTCTCAAGGGAAACAGAGGCCAGCAGTCCCCATCTTGTCTGTGACAAACCTTGGGGACTTGAGGGATAATCATTAGGAAGACTTCAGTCTTTTCACCTTCCCGATCACCAATCTCTGCTTCTCTAAGCCAAGAGTCTCAAGTTCAAATGTCTACAAGGGCCAGGCATGCAACAAATGACTGCAAGAGCTCTGGGTCAAAGACAACAGGGAATGGTGGGGACTGGTAAACTGAAGACGTCATGCCTCACCTAGAGGGGAAAGCTCTTATTCCACTCCAGGCAATTGTTGCAATGCGTGAACAAGAGCCTAGTGCTGCTAGATCTTCTGGGTGGTGGTGGTGGTGGTTGTTTCCAAGAAAAATATGGAAGAATAGATCTTTAGGAAAATTTCCTGGGAATTTTTTTTTCAACACTGAGCAGTCCACCAGTTTGCTATGAGACTTTGACCTGTTCTGAGCCTTTTTGGGGGGATGCTGTGCTGGGCGCTCACTGGCTGACCTCCAGTAGGCAGCCATGTCCTCCTCTGGCCTTGCAGCCTCCAGCTGGACCCCAGTCCCTGTCAGGAGGGAGGGCCACTTCAAGTGTAACAGGGCTCCCTTTTGGCTTCTAGGTTCCTGGGCCGCCAGGGCCAGAGGGGCCCCCCGGACCTCCGGTAAGTTTGGAGGGTTTGTCAGTGGTCGGTCCCCTAATGTCCCCTCTCCATAGCAGTCACTAGACTAAACCTCAGCCTTAGTCACTATCACTTCTTCCTCCCAGGGAGGGATTTTCTGGTCTACAAACCCCTCCCCACTCCTCTTTCCTCCCATGTTAAATAGCAGCATGCCAGGGGTACCAAGGAGCCTGGGCATTGCTTGGTTTCCTGGAAATAGTTGACTGGTAGGGCAGCCCCAGGGTCCCTTGTCTTTAAGCTCTGTCCAACATTTACCTCACCCTTTGCCATTAAACATCTGCTTCTCCCATTCCTCATTTCAAAGTGACCCATTGGCCTGGCACAGTGGCTCACGCACGTGATACCAAGCTGGCACTCTGGGAGGCCAAGGCAGGTGGATTGCTCGAGTCCAAAAGCTTGAGACCAGCCTGGGCAACACAGTGAAACCCTGTGTCTTCTAAAAATACAAAAAATTAGCTGGGAGGGGTGGCACACATCTATAATCCCAGCTACTCAGGAAGCTAAGGTGGGAGAATTGCCTGGACCCTGGAGGTTGAGGCTGCAGTGAGCCAAGATCACACTACTGCACTCCAAGCACTCCAAATCTGGGCAAGCAGAGTGAGACCCTGAAAAGAAGAAAGAAAAAGAAAAGAAAGAGAGAGAAAGAGAGAGAGTGAGAAAGTGACCCAGCCCCACTGGATTGGAAAGAAAGAGGAAAGAGAGAAAGAGGGAAAGAAAGAGAGAGAGAGAAAGGAAGGAAGGGAGGGAGTGAGGGAGGGAGGGAAAGAGAGAGAGAGTGATCCTGCCCCACTGGATTGGCTTTCCTTGGCTACAGAAATGAAACCATGGGACTCCTGTGCATTGCCCCTAGAGGGCCCCCAAGCACCCTGAAGCAATAGATGCTGGTCCATACCTCTGTGCGGTACATGGTCCCCAAGGCGCTGTGTGTCCTCTATTGCGGACGGTAAAAGTAGCAGCGGGAATGACAGTAGCCAAAGTTTACTGAAACTTACTGGATGCCAGACACTGTTCCAAGCACTTCGCATGTATTAATTTAACATTTGCTGTGTTACCTCTGCATCTTCCTTTCATGAGATTCTGGGTCATCCATGGGGACCACAGAGAGATTTTCTGTGAGCCCCTGGCTGGGGAAGACTGCTCAGACTATTCCCCACGAAGCCCCAAGCATAACCCCCACTTTAGCATTTCCTTCTACCTCTCATGGGCAGGGACCCCAAACCACACCCTGTACCCAAAACCCTTGCTCTTCTGTGGTCCATTTGTGGACAAGTCAGTTGTGTTAACTAGAAACGCAGCTCTAATGTACCTTGTTTTATTCCAAATGCAGGGGCTTCAAGGTGTTCCTGGACCAAAGGTAAGGAGAAGTCACGTGACAGTCAGTGCTAGTAGAAAAGGAGGAAAGTGCACCTGAGACCAACTGACCCTTTTTCCTCAAAGGCATCATGTGACACTCCAGCCAAGGGGTCTGGTCAGGGCAGATGAAGTCCTAGGTTCCCTTTAGCTTCCATCATTGACACGTGGTGTGCTTTGGCTTCAGAAGTTTCTTATCCATCACTCCACAAAGTGACAGGTTAGATTCTTAGCCAGTGGTTAAAATCCTTTTCCCATCAAACCTGCCCCAGCCCCTTCACTCATGCTGAGTATAGGTGGGAGAGAGATAGAAACAGTGTGGGACCCCCCCAGGTCAAGTTTGGGGGGACTCTGCACTGGGCTCTCCTGGTCTCCCCTCAAGCATTTCAAATGGATGAGGGGGCTGGAGGCTGTCGGTATGACAGTGGCCCTTTCCTCATGGCCTGGCATTTAAGAGACTTCTGGGCTAGGTTGTGAGCCTCAGGGCTCTGGTGGTAGCATCTCAGGCATCTGCCAGCAAGTTTCTGTAAGGTTCCCGTTCTCCTGCCATGCAGATGGGCATCTGTGCCAAACTCTGACCTGTAGGTTTGTCCCCACGCCACCTAGGCATTCCTTTTCCCTGTAGGGCTCGCAAAACTCCCACAGGATACAGGGGCTACTAACTGAGGCGGGAGTAGGCTAAGAATTCAGGGATTCTTGGTATAGCCAGCCCACCACCTCTGGCCCCTCCCTCCTCTACAAATGCCACCCCAGTCTCCAGGATCCCAGAATGCAAGAATGAGTTGTCTGGGACATGACCTTGTGTGATGTCTTCCCCTCTCCCTTTCCTCCAGGGGGAAGCAGGACTAGATGGAGCAAAAGGAGAGAAAGGCGTCCAGGGAGAAAAAGGAGACCGTGGTCCCCTGGGACTACCCGTAAGTACCTCGGACCCAGCAAGACTGGAGGATTTGATGGGCCAGGGGTGTCAGCTGGGACCAGGAGACAGCCACTGGAAAGCTAAGGTTCCAGAGTCTGAGCATCCAGAGCTCCACGTGGTTTGGCTTTCCCACCTGGGGAAGACCCCAGGCTCTGATTCTCTTCCTCCTCTGGGCCAAGCCCCACCTGGCTGCTGGGGAAAGAAGACAGGCTCCCCCACCCCAAGGGGTACCAAGATGGGGGGCTGGAAGTGGCCTGAGAATAGCTTCAGACCCTGCTTGAGCCTGGTTCAGAGGTAATCAAAGCCTGCTGCCTTTATGAGGGCCAAGTTTGGAGGGTTTGGGTACAGTGGGACAAGGAGATGGTTTCCATGACAGTCCATTTGCCCAGAGGGACCCCAAGAGAACTCCTGCTCTCCACTCTTAAGCACTGGTCATAGCAGAAAGACACAAAGTCAGACTTGGTGGTTCCAGCAGGCCAAGGCCATTCATCTCCTGGGTTCCTGGGGATCTCTGATTTCAGCCTGCCCAGAGCAAGAGGCCCCAAGTCAGATGTGGGGAGCTGCTCAGAAGGTGTTCGCATGTCCTGATATGGGGCTGGGCTGAATAGGGCTGATGGCCTCTTCACTGCCTCACCTGTGTACAGGTCAGCACATCCCACCACCCTCCCTGGAGCCCTGGCTCCATGTCCCCTAACCCTGCACTGAGGTTGGCATTCTTCTGGTTTTGTTTTCAAGAGCTGGAAGGGATGTTAGTGATCCATCTCATCATTTCACTGATGGTTAGAGAAGACAGTGGGTCACTGGAGGTCACATACAAAGTTGGCGGCCAAGCCAGAGGCTGCTCTGAGGCCATGGCTTTGCAAAGCGGCTCCTTCCAGCCACTCAGGCTTCCTTTGTCCTCAAGGAAGGAAGGCTCAAGGCCAGCTCCCACCCCAGGTAGCCATAAAGAGTAGAGAAACAATGGGAAGCCCAGTTACCCCCGCTTGGCAGAGCTTGAAGGCCTGGTTAATATAATCACAGCAACCAAACAGCAAATGCAAGAGGTATAATTACACCCTCATGAATGCATTCGAGGTAGGAATATTTAAGAAGCCGATTCGCTTGACAGACTACAGAAAACCGATGACTTTAGCGGGCATTTTCCCATGTCTTAAGCTGTGTTCAGAATGATTAAGTGCTCTTTACTATTAAAGAGGCTTCCTGTCCCACTCAACCACAAACCTCTCCTTATCCACACTCAGGGCCCCAACAACCTTGATGAACACTGGAGAATTCAGTCAGGGGTTGAAATGCAAAAGGAACAGAGACCAAACAGGAAATATTAATATAAACAAGGAAAGTGCCAGAAGAAAGACGAAGTACCTAGTCTATCATTAATTTTTCCCACTTTTGATAGAGGCATGGAGAGAAATCTTTTTTTTTTTTTTTTTAGTTTAAGTAAACAACAGAACAAGCATATTCACACAAGACGACTAACACAAGCCTGAGGGAGACACTAGGGAGTGGAGGGGACTGGGATGCCCTAGAGAGATCATGTATCCTTCTTAAGGGGAGCCGTCCCTTCTTAGCCCAGCTGACTGTTGCCTTGGAGGAAGGCGGAGCTGGTATTTCTGGGTCTTCCTATTTTTCAAAGGAAGCTGAACATCTGGTGTTTTATGTGAAATCTTTCCATTTTCTAACATTAGATCAAAATTATTTGCAACACTGCAGACCGTACAAAATATGTCAATGGCCCACATATGGCCTGAGAGCCTCATTCGTGCCTTCTGCTCCAGATCGCTCAAGACAACTGAGATTTAATGCTGCATTCTTAAAAGTTACGTGGATATTTAGCTACAGTTCTGTTTCCAGGCTTCACCTGGATATTTTATTCTACATAGTAGCAGCCTGTTTCTCCAGGTACATCCTGGAGTGTTCCCCCATGCCGGCTGTGCACTAGAATCCCCTGGGAGATCTTAAAACTTACCATCACCCCGAGCTTCACTCTTGGAGATCTGATTGAATCAGGCTGGGACAGGGTGGGACCCAGACATCTGTTTTACTTAACATTGCCCCCAGGAGATTCTAGTGTGCAGCCAGGGCTGAGAACCACAGCTCTCTAGCCCAGTGAGTCAAGGTCGGTCCCAGAATCGTATAGTCCTAAATCTGAGAAGAGTCCCTGCAGAGTCCTTCTACCCAACACGTTTTCCATGAGGAAGCAGCTCATTGTCTCCCTCTTCCGGGGACTTCCCTCTACGTTTGAAATCCTGAGGCTGAGGCTCAGCTGGAAGCAGTTTGCAGGCACTCGGTCCTCATCTGGCCAGAGTATTGCTGCTGCCTTCTCCCTGACTTGTCACATTGGGATCATTAGAAGAGGGGCCATAGGTTTTCCTAGGTGAGTTTCAGAGGCAGCTTAATAACCCAGGAATGGAGCAGGAGCCCCCCGCCTCCTTCCCGTCTGCCCTGCACCACGTGTTTCACTGGACAGCAAGAACAAGCGAGGGTGCTGATAACAGGTGGGTCTCAGTAGCTTCCCACCTGCTACCCATTTGCTCTGGGGAATACATAGCCTTAGACCTCTGTCCCAGTCCGCTGCCTCCAAAGCCTTTTTCTACACAACAGCCCTAGTCTGGGAGCATATGAACGGATCGAGTTTGGGTTGAGCCTCTCAGATCGTAAAGTGCCAGAGAAATGTCAGGTGTCATTTGTAATATCATCTAAGGCCCAACTCATTCCCCCAGGCTGAAGGATAAACAGACCAACTTCTACCCAGATTTCACAACTGGGTGCTGTCACCTAGGCTGAGACCCTCAGGGGCACCCCAGCATGGCCTGATCCAAACAGGAATGCAAGAAGCTGGGAGAACTGTCCTCACCTGGGGCCCCTCCCCAGTGAAAGATGGGTGCACAGCTCTGATTCCAAGACATCTCTCCAAGTATTCCTTTCTGCACAACACTAAAGGGAGAGGGGTTTCTGAGACGGAATAAAGGGAGAGAGGAGAAACAGGGGCAGGAGGAGCAAGTGGCCATCCGCACCTACCTCCACCCAGCCTGCTCAGCGGCCGGCCACCGCATTCAGTGTCTCCATGTTTTCGTTGGTTTCCATGTAAATACCATCCCCTGTCCTCCCAAGCTTATTTCTCCGGTTGTGTTTGATTACCAGCATTTATGTCTGTCCAGAGTCACTGCTTTACTCACCTCTTCCCTCCCCATTGTTCCCTTTTTCTCCCTCCCAATCCTCTCTTCCCCTTCTTTTGGTCAAATTGTGCCCTTCGTCCAGGGAGCTTCAGGTTTGGACGGCAGGCCTGGGCCACCGGTGAGTGTCACTTCTCCGTCACCCCTCACCCCACCCCACCCCACCCCACCCCACCCCTGGCCTGTGATCCCTTCTGTCTGTCCCACTTGGCCTCGTTTTCCCAGTGAATCATGGCTTGTCCCACCTCCGACACCAGAAAGGTGCTATCGAGGCTCTGAAGCGCCTTTTCCGCCCTCTTGACCAAATATGACTGGCCTTCATCTGAATGCCCCTGTCCACAGAATACACCCAGGGACCTCAAACCTGCCAGGTGTGGGGTGGGAGACCACTGCAGCAGCACCACTCCTGATTCCAAAGGAATGCTGAGTCCAGCCTGGGTGCCCAGCCCTGGGGCTTTGAGCCATGGCCTCTCCCCAGCAAACACACCAGTGTCTGTGTGTGCCCGTCCTGCTGTGTTGTCGTCATACTGTGAGCTCTGTCCACCTCCTGTCTTCCCACGGATCTCCCTAGTCTTGTGCAGCCACCAGTTGGGTGTGTGGGGGGTGGGACAGCTTTGAAGGGTGAGGACAGGAGTAGCCTGTAGGAGCACAGAAGCCAGTCCCAGCTCTGTGTCTTACACACATTCTAACCACCCTTGCACTGCCTTGACACCACAGCCACCCTGCAACCCAGCCAGCGGGTTCATTACAGAGCAAGTGAGGCACACTTGGGTCCTCTCCTCCTCTGTTCTTCCTGATTCCATAAAACAGGAATCATTGACTCTTAACTAGAAAGCACATGGCCCTTCTGCTTCCGACTAACAACTGAAGGATCAGAGAAAACATCCCCCTGTCCACCTTCCGGTCCCTCCCCTGACCCTGCTGTGAGGTCAGCCTTCCCAAAGTGTTCAGCTCACTCGTCCTCAAGTCTGGAGTCCCTGAGCTATCACGAAAGCTCTGTGCGCCCAGCCCCTTCCAGCCAGGGAGGCCCTGCTCTGCCCTTCAGAGTGTTTTCAAGGCCACGTCTGCCCAAGGCCTGCATGAAGACGGAGTTCTAGTGAGCTGGCTGGAGCCACCCTCAGGGGAGGCGACGCCTTGCCAGGGTTCATGTGTGGAGCGTAGGGGACACGCTGAAGCAAGGCTTACAGGTCTTCCCAGGGGGCCCGGGGCACTGAAACTGGCACCAACAGAAGCCCAGAGCTTTTAGAGGTAGGAGGGTCAAGAGTGACCCCCGTGAGAGCCCTGTCCTACTGAATGCCTATTCTGTGCCCTCATAAATAAGAGGAGGTGGCATGGCTTGCCCAAGATGACATACTTCTTCAGAGCCCCCCAGCTCCCTGTGCTGTTGGAGTCCACACCCTAAACCCTTCTGTGCAGAGAGCATGCCCCAGCTGCCAGGCATTATCATGGCTCTGCTCCTTCGCCACAGTCCCTCCCTCTCCACCCTCCCCCACCTAACACACCTGTCTCAGGTGCCCGGGTAGGGCTCAGGGATTATCTGTGACTGCAATTGCAGAAACCAAGACTTCCCTCTCAATAGCTTCTCCCATTTATGTCAGACGGAGAAAAGCAGTACAAATTCATATACTCTTTCTCTCTGGAACGGAGACTTTCTTTTCCTCATAAAATCAGTATCCTAACTTCAAGGGAAAATGTGGGGGGAAAATAGTAGCCTGCCCTGCCAATATTAACATTTACTGGGCACTTCCTACAGGTCAGGCTCAGCACCAAATGCTCGCCATGCATTCATGCATGGAAACCTGGCACAGCCAAGGAGGCAGACATGCGTGGTACAGACGGGGAAACTGACACTCGGCAAGGCTAAGGAGCGTCTCCAACACCCAGGAGTTCGTAGGCCTCTCAGGCAAGGCCAGCCAGGTGACTCCGCAGCCCTGCGCCAAACCATTGGCCTGAGCTGACACCTTTTTCTTTTTCTTTTTGAGACAGAGTCTCGCTGTGTCACCCAGGCTGGAGTGCAGTGGTGCAATCTCTCCTCACTGCAACCTCTACCTCTGGGGTTCAAGTGATTCTCCTGCCTTAGCCTCCCAAGTAGCTGGGATTACAGGTGCCCGCCACCATGCCCAGCTAACTTTTGTATTTTTAGTAGAGACAGAGCTTCGCCATGTTGGCCAGACTGGTCTTGAACTCCTGACCTCGACCTCCCAAAGTGCTGGGATTACAGACATGAGCCACCGCATGCGGCCTCCTTTTTTATTCTACAGAAGGCTGTGCTCTTACAGATGTGCACAGCCTTCCTCCCTCCCTCATGGTTGCTAAGGGAGCCCTGGGGACTCTTTACTCCCCTCTTTGTCTCATGTGAAGTCACGCCCCGCCTTTCACAGCTACATTCAGAGCACCGGAAACTGCCCACAGCTCAGCCCCACTCCTCCTGTCCTCATCTGAGGCTGACAATAGGAGACACTGAACTAGAGACTTAGTCTGACCAGGCTGTGAACTGGGAACCTGGGAAGATGTTGGATAAGGCCAGAGCAAGCCCTGATGCTTCGTGTCTAAGCCATGCGCTCTGATGGCCCCAGCGCCCCCAGCCCTGGGCTAGCAGAGCTCATGACACACCTCCCTGCCAGGCCAGTGTCAGTGCAGACATTGAGGCATCCTAATTCCCCCTCGATCCAGTAGGTTTCACAGGCCTGCCAGTGGGGTGAGGAGACCCTGGCCAGAGGCTGAGGCCAGGGCTGTGGGTCTGCGGTGGGCGGGTGGGGTGGGCGTTGGCTGAACGACCCTCTCTCGCCTGCCCCTGTGTGTGCGTTCGCATCCATCTCTGTGGCATGAAGACCCTCCCGCTGCATGTGGAGCTGCAACAGCAAAGAGGGTGCCAGCCCCTGGCCCCTGCCCTGGGATGGGTCCACTCCCTCCCAAGTGCTTCTGAGAGCAAAACTAAGCAATCATTCTCCCACCGTTTTCAGCCTTGGCAAGCTTGGTTGTGAAGCAAAAGGGTTTTAGTCCATGAATCTGGCTCTGAGGCATGGGGAGGTGCTGTCTCCCCCACAGGCCCTGAACCCAAAGAGGATCACAGCCCTGAATGACTGCCCTGAATGAGCCTGGCCTCGCCAACCCTGAAAACTGGGCCTGAGACCTTGCTCATCTCCAGGTGTCGGGGAGGGGCACCCAGGGCTCCCCAGAGTGTGGGGACCTCACCTCTGCTTTCCTTCCCCTCCCCAGGGTACTCCAGGACCAATTGGAGTTCCAGGCCCAGCGGGACCAAAGGGCGAGAGGGTGAGTGTCAGTGGGCCAGGGGCCGGGGCAGCCTGGAGGCAGGGGCAGGCCTGGGACCCCCAACACCAGGGGTCTCAGCCCTATGCTTTCCTTCTTCTGTCTCTTCTCCTGGTCATCCTCACAGCAGTCTGGGACGGGGGGCTCGTTGTGTAGCTATGAGTGGACAGAGACTTGGAGGGATCAAGGAAGCAGAGAGGTGGGGCACATTGGCTCACACCTGGAATTCCAGCACTCCGGGAGGCCAGGGTGAGAGGATCACTGGCACTCAGGAGTCTGAGACCAGCCTGGACAGCATAGTGAGACTCCGACTCTACAAAAAAGCATTTTTTAATTAGCCAGGCATGCTGGTGTGCACCTCTAGTCCTAGCTATTTGGGAGGCTGAGGCAGGAGGATCAGTTGAGCCCGGGAAGTTGAGGCTGCAGTGACTGTACTACTGCACTTCAGCCTGGAAGACAGAGCAAGACTTTATTAAAAAAAAAAAAAAAAAAAACTGGAGGGAAAGAAAAAGGAACTAGAGAGCTTCCTCCACTTTAGTTTCTGGTCACCTTGTGTCCTTCTCAGGTTCAGCCTGGCAAGGCCCTGGGTGCCATTGTCACTGGACATGCCTAAAGTTTGTAATAATTTAGGGAAACAGCATGGAACAGAGGGCCAGGTGGTATTTAGACCACTGCTGGAGGACAGCAAGAAGTCAGGAGGCCAGAGCCACAGGCCAGGCTCCCACGGTCGCTGTCCAGGGATGTTGGCCATGTCCGTGTCACAGGACTCGCAAGCTCCAGCCTTGTCCTGCTGGAATGGGCATGTCCAAGGGTGAGGGTGTTGGCTGAGTGCAGGCAGGGGAGCTGCGTGTCTTTCCATATCGGCTCTTCCCAGCCAGCCCTTGGCTTCTACACACTCAGGGCTCGGAGGTCCCTGCGTGGGCATCCATCGAGTTCCCTGCCTGCGTGGACAGCTCCCTGTGCTCTCCATCTGCCCACCTGCTGGCTCTGTCTCAGGTGGGGAGGGTGGGAGCTTCTGCAGAGGGTGCAGGCTTCTCTGTGACCACCAGCTTGGGGAAACCAGGAGGCTGCTCTGAGGGGTGACCCTGGAGGCTCTGGAGCAGAAAGTGAAGCTCTTTCTCTTCCCCTGCCTTCGTGCTCTGCTTTCTTCTTCCCTGCTTCTGCCTCAGGCTAGCCAGGCCCAGGACACCATGGGTCATTCTGGGGGGGATTGGCGGACAGGGTCTACTGGAGGGAGAGTGAGGGGGGCTTCTGTGCCTCCTCCCCAGGGCAGTGTTAGCATCAGCGGCACCCACCTTTCCCACAGCCCTTGCTTCCTGGGGGGCTCTTGAGGGGACTGGAGAGGTCTCCTGTGTTTCATACCAAAGTAGAAAATGGCAAGGAAGGTTGTTACCACGTCTGGGAGGATTCATGCATTTCTCTTTCCCATTTCAGGGCAGCAAAGGAGACCCTGGGATGACAGGACCAACGGGAGCAGCTGGGCTTCCTGTGAGTCTCTTGGGATCAGAGCTTCCTCTCTGCCCATCCCTGCCCCCATTAGAAACACCCAGGGCCTGCAGCACAATTCTAGGGCCCAGGGAGAACTCTCATTTCTGTGACAGAGGAAGCTGCCAAAAGGCAACGGGTGATGGGCTAGCACGTCCTGCCGGGCACTGCATTGTGAGGGCATCAGGGCCTCTGCCATGCGGACCCTGTGATGGGATGAGAGCCCCTCCCACTGTGTTAAGTGCAGCCTGACCTCAGCCATGAGTGTGCCGTGGCCCCTGCCCTCAGTAGGGGCAGAATCAAATTCAGACCCCTGTGATAGGAGGAGAGGCTTCACGAGCGGAGCAGCTTCCCAGGGGAGCTGGGCCTCGCGGGGGAGACCTGGCTTTCCATGGCAGCATCCTTTCCCATCACTTTGTTACGGAAATTGGGTGTCTGCCTGCAAGAGCCCGCACTTTAGTTTCCCATCTGCTGGAGGCTGTGTGTGTTGGCCAGGTGTGCACATCTGGGCCAGGCTTGCCTCGTGCTAAATTCCCCTAGCTAAAATATTGAAAAGAGAGTCTAGCAAGAGCCTGGCAGGAGAGCCCTGGGGACTCCCCTCTGCTAAGAGCACTCCTTGCCCTGGCAAGCACATCCTCAGAACTCACCCATCACCTGCGGTAGTGACCTTGGGAGAACCCAGCCACAGGCCAGGATCTGGGCTGCAGAGGCGAGAAAACTAGAACTGTGTTCTTGGCTTTGCCCAGAATTCTTCATTTGCCCCTAGGTCAAGTTTTCTGAGCGGTTTGCTTCTCCATCCCACTTCCGTATAATGGGAATAATTGAACCTGTCTCTGAGGAGTGAGGCATCGGGGAGAGCGTTATGAGCCTGGAAGGCAGCACTGCAGAGCGCCCTGTGTTTCTGCACTAACATGCCTTTGCTCCTCTGATCTCTCGAAGGGTTTACATGGACCACCTGGGGACAAGGGAAACCGGGTAAGTCTGAGACTCCGCACTCGGGTGCCGGTTACTAATGTCTTCATGATGGGGTAGAATGATCAATCAGTGATTCCTGACCAACATGGCAAACACAGTTTTGCCTGATAAACCATCCTAAATTGAAAGGCTTTACAAGGAGGGCCTTAACCTGTGATTTGCAGGGAGCCTGGGGCCTGATCCTCACATGGAAGCATGTATTTTTCCACACCACGAGGAGGGACCGAGTCCCACGGCAGCCACCAGCTTAGCATTGCTATCCAGCTACAAGAGCCATGCGTCCAGCTCTTTCTAGGTTGCCCTGATATTGGGCCCCTAAATGATCGTTTTAGATCCATTGCTACCTTGTCCTCGCCTTCTGAAACTTAGTTTTGCCAGGCATTCCAGGCCACTAGTGAGAGAGAAAATAAATTCCAGCTCCAAGAACAAGCAGACGGCTATGGGAAGCACCCAACCCTTTTAAAAAAATATTACAGCCAGTATTTCTCTTGGAAAGAGTCAGCAGAGCTCTGAAAGGACTTGCACCTTCTCAGGCCCTCGCTGTCCCTTTGGTTTCTGCCATCTTCACCAGGACACACCAAATGCCCATGGCACCCACAGCCATGTGACGGGGTGTGACACCTGCCACAGCCTTCAGCATGTGGGCCCAGCAGGGAGAATTTACAACTGACCAAGAGATGGCCTTTGGGTTCCCCTCAAGGGTCTCATCTGCTGCCCTATCATGGGGCTCTGTGGAGTGGGGGGCCACACGCCCTAGAGGCCAAGTGTGTCTTCTGGCGGGTCATAAAATCCAAGGCACTTAGTGGAGAAGAAATGGAAGGAACAGATGGAGAAACAGGGCCCAGAACAATGCCCTGGGTTCCCATGGAGCGTCAGAGCACAAGGTCTCCAGAACCCAGGTCTTGTGGCTGATCTTTGCCCACTGATACCATGTTCATGCACGGAGTGTGCCAGAACGTCTATGCTTCTATCTGGCAAGAGTGAATTCCACTCCCTTCAATTCAACATCTATTCACTGAGCACTCCCATTCTCCTAAGTGCTCTTCACCGGCAGCAGGTCAAAAGCAACTCAGTTTGTCCCGCATCTTCTGTAAACAAGAGGGAGCGGCAGCGCCACCCCTGGCCATGGCAAGACCAGGTCTGGAAACAACTGCCAGCATAAACAGACCTGCTTCCCAGTGCTCCAAGGCACACTGGGAAGGACTTTCCTCAGTGTGGCATCAAAAGATTCAGGCCTCTAAAATCTTTGATCATTCCACCTCTTCATTGGCATACTAACTTCCTTTCAAATGTCATTCTGATGTGTTCTAGTTTTCTTTATTATATTCAATTAGTATTTTCTAAACCTCCTTAAGACTCTTTCAGTTGGCTTGAGACGCTGAGCAGTTTGAAGGCTGCAAAACTGATCCTTCAAGGCACAATGACCATGTTGCTGGTGAGGTGGAGACAGGACAAGTACCCTTGTCACAGAGGGAGGCGGGGGCTGGTGGCTCTGATGCTGCAGGAACCGAGGTTGTCAAGTCATCCACTGAGGCCCCAGGAATCAGTGGGAAAGTATTCCTCGTCCCCCTCCCTTTCCTGATGTTTGACACACTTTCCTCCATCCCATTTACAAATTAGGAATGTGTCACTTAGCAAAAGTCAGCTTCAGAAAACAGTGAGCTGGCATGCACCTTCTTGTGAGCATACCATAAAGAGCCAATGGACTTATTCCCAGACAGCATGTTTCCAACTCAAGGGGCGGCTTGTTCTCTTCATTCTGGGGATTTGACTCTCAGGATGTCCGTATGTCCTGGAAGAGTCCCCCCTCAATCTTCCCTCCCCATTCTGACCTTTTTTATTTTTTCTTTGAAACAGTATCTCGCTCTGTCACCAGGCTGGAGTGCAGTGGCATGATCTCGGCTCACTGCAACCTCTGCCTCCCAGGCTCAAGTGATTCTCCTGCCTCAGCCTCCTGAGTAGTTGGGACTACAAGCACGCCCTAATTTTTTGTATTTTAGTAGAGATGGGGTTTCGCCATGTTGGCCAGATGGTCTCCATCTTCTGACCTATGATCCGCCCACCTCAACCTCCCAAAGGGCTGGGATTACAGGCATGAGCCACTGCACCCCACCCCCATTCTGATTTTTTTATACCACCAGCCCTAATAGAACTTTGGGGGAAGATGTGAGAGCTTGGTAATGACGCCTCCAAACCAAAGAAAGGCCTGAGAAAGTCAGTGCTTGCTCCACCAGGGACAGTTTTGGGGGTTGATAGAGGGGTTATGCCAGAGTATTGACACTTTGATCAAGGTAAAAATGCCAGAAGGACCAAAACAACATTCTGATTAGAAGCTGCATGGTCACCTGTGAAGGGAAAGCTACAGATATTCAAGTTCCCCTGCCCCACCTGGGTTTTGGAGGGTGGCTCCCTATAGGGCAACCCCCAAACTTTGTGCACATCATGCTTCACTGCGTGCACCCCATCAGAGATTTGGTTTTTGGTGGCTTGTTTGTTTTTTTTTTTGAGACGGAGTCTTGCTCTGTCTCCCAGGCTGAAGTGCAGTGGTGTGATCTCCACTCACTGCAACCTCTGCCTCCCAGGTTCCAGCGATTCTCCCACCTCAGCCTACTGAGTAGCTGGGATTACAGGTGTGTGCCACCACGCCCAGCTAATTTTTTGTAGCTTTAGTACAGACAGGGTTTCACCATGTTGGCCAGGCTGGTTTCGAACTCCTGACCTCAAGTGATCCGCCTGCCTCGGCCTCCCAAAGTGCTGGAATTACAGCCAGGAGCCACTATGCCTGGCCCAGAGATTTGTTTTATTTCACAGTGAACCAAGATACAACCTTAAAAGTGTTGTTCTCCATGTCCCACCAAAGGATGGTCCCAGAGCCTCTTCCTGTTCATGGAAGGAAGGTCCTTGTCATGGGGGGCAAAGGCCCAGAGCCCCAAACCAGGAGCTTTGTAAGCATACACACCAGTGGAAAGAATATCCTGACCTTGTCACTAAGTAGCTTCCCTTCCCCTAAATAGCTCTATGAATTTGGCCCCGGAGCCACCTTTAGGATAAGAAATCAGTCAAAGGATAAAGGGTGGCATGAATCTGGCAATTTAATCATCAGGAAAATCGGGGGTTACTGTGGGGCTGCCTGCAAACCAGCCAGCTGAAAAGGTCTGCGTGCATGCAGCGAGGCTGCGTCTGCTCTCTGAGATGCCCAACTTTGAGGGGTGGGGGGGTGCACGCATGTGTGTGGGTGCATATGTGTTGGTGCATGTGTGTGCACGTGTATCTTGCTTCCTAAGTCCGTCTTGCCTCCTCACCTCTTCCTCTTCCACTATCTCTTTTGGCCTCTTCCTTTACTCCTTCTCCCCCAATATGTTCATTCATTATAATAATCCCATGTCCTTCATCCTTTCCCTTCCCCTCACCGGCTTTCCATTCATCTCCTCCAAAGTCCACTGTCATACATTTACCCATGTTTTTAAGAAGCCTTTGCTCCTTGACTTTATTCACCCCTTTCTCCCTTATCAACTAGGGTTCCCTCTTTGCCAGGGTCTCTTTTGTGTCACTCTCTGGGGGTGGGAGGCAGGGAGACTGCAGGTGATGCTACTACTCCAGTAGCCTCAAATGACACCTGATTTGGGGCAATTGCCCAGATTTTTAGAATACAACACCCCATAGTATCCGCTACCTGCTGTCAAAGTCTGGAACATGCCAACCCTCTGTTACCCCCGGGGTATCCTGGACTTGGGATTCCCCACTCTAGCAGATTTGCCCATCTTCTTCATTAGAAAACTGCTCAAGACCCAGAGAATGAGAGGCCACACCCTGAGAGAGTTTATCAGATGGCTTCCCCACCCAAATAGCTAGTGGTTTTGCTGGTCTGCCCCTTGGGGATGATTTGTAGCATGATGTTCTTATTGGCAGACAAAATTTCAGGCTGATGGAAATATACCTAATATGTGCATACATATGTCATCTTAAACACATGTCCATTTCTAAGTAAGGATTTGCATTTTTAGGAAATTCATTTAGAACAATGCACTGGTTGCAGACAACCTCTGGAATCGAGAAATTTGCATAATTTCCAAAGAACTGAAGGAACACCAAAAATATTCTTTTGTTTGTTTGAAACAGAGTCTCACTCTGTCGCCCAGGCTGGAGTGCAGTGTCAAGATCTCAGCTCACTGCAATCTCTGCCTCCCGGGTTCAAGCGATTCTCCTGCCTCAGCCTCCCGAGTAGCTGGGATTACAGGTGCCCATCACCATAACTGGCTCATTTTTGTAATTTTAGTAGAGACAGGGTTTCGCCATGTTGGCCACACTGGTCTCTAACTCCTGACCTCAGGTGATTCACCCATCTCAGCCTCCCAAAGTGCTGGGATTACAGGCGTGAGCCACCACACCCAGCCAAAAACATTCTTATCCTCTGCCTTCCTCTAATGAATTTCTACCCTGTAGCCTTCCACTGCAGGAACACTGCACATGACAACCTCTGACCCCAACCTTTGGCTCCTATACTAGCTAAAAAGAAATCATTATCATTATCATTATGAAGCAGCTATCATTTTCTGTGTACATACTATGTGCTATTATTAAGCATTTAATGAGCACAAACACCTCAATTTTTTTTTCCAGGCAGAGTCTTGCTCTATTGCCCAGGCTAGAGGGCAGTAGTGCAATCATGGTTCACAGCTGCCTCAAACTCCTGTCCTTGGCTTAAGTGATCTTCCTGCCTCAGACTCCTGAGAAGCTAGGACTGCAGGGACATGCCACCACACCTAATTTTTTTATTCTTTGAAAAAATGGGGTCTTGCTTTGTTGTCCAGGCTGGCCTTGAACTCCTGGCCTCAAACAATCCTCCTGCCTTGGCCTCCCAAACTGCTGGGATTACAGACATGAACCACTTTGCCCAGCCTCAGAACAAATTTTTGAGGCAGGTGTTATTGTACCCATTTTACAAGTAAGGAAACAAAGGCTCAAAGAAGTAGCCTCACAAAGTCATGCTGCTGTCGGAACCAATTCTGCCTTCAAGTCTTTGTCCTGACTAACATGCTGCCCAGCCTTCGAAGTCACACTGGAGCGACACTGCTGAAGTCCCCAAGCATTAGATAATCCCCCTCCAGAGAGGAGAGGAGCTTCCAGGAAGACTTCCTATGGACACACTGAACCCCCTTTTTAGGAAACACACATATAAAAAATGCAAATGCAAATTCATTAAAGAGGTGATGCTTCACTTTTAAAAAGAATTCCCCACAGCTCTTCTTTAAATGGACTCTGACACATACAAAATAGAATTCAATTTAGAAAAATGATGTTTACTGCAGCTTTTCAGAAACAAATGAATTCCTTAAACCAACACATTCATATACAAATAACTGTCTGAAAAAGATGAAGCAAGACAAAGATGGAGCAAGATACACATAGAACAGGAGAACCCAGCTGAGAACCAGGGGCCATCCATGAGCCCTGGACGCACACATATATGTGCACAAGGACACACACATGTGTGCACATGGACACACATGCATACAAACGTGTTCATGTGCCCAAGCACATAACACACATACATGTGCATGCACACATATACACACACGGACACACTTGTACCCTCATACACATGCACAGGCACATATGTGCATATGCTCATACACGCTATGTTCACACACACCCCAGGGCTCCAAGCAAAATCACCTTGCCTCCTAGTAGAATGTCAAAGGGATAAACATTAATTGGGGAAAAAAGTTGTCAGCCCATAGCCTTTCAAAATAGACCCTCGAAGAGAAGGAAGTTGGTCCCTAGCCACTGTGTTCCACACAGACCCACCCTGGGCTTAGTGTTAGCAAAACTGGCCACCCAAATCTTCCATCTGTGGTTCCCTCCACCTGCAGCTCTGAGCCCTGCTGCCATCCTCCCCTCCCTCTCCCACCCACCTTAGCCAAATTCTCAGGGGCCTGGGGATGAGGAGGAGGTGGGTGTGGACTCCAAATCCTATTGGGGAGAATATCCTAATTAAAAGCATCTCTTTTTCCCTCTTTAATTTTATTTTTCTGTCTCTAATCTTAACACATGAATGTTCCTAAAGTTTTGATGTTGTTTTTTTTCTCGGACTAAACCATTATTTCCAGGGGGAGAGGGGGAAGAAAGGCTCTAGAGGGCCTAAAGGGGATAAGGGAGACCAAGGAGCGCCTGGATTAGATGCCCCCTGCCCGTTGGTATGTTTTTGTTTATCACTTGCTCTGGTTTTTGTCCTTGAGGTTTGCAAGTTGGAAACAAAGAAGGCAAATAAGCTAAGATGAGAACCAAATGTCTACACCAATGCTACCAAAATCTATCTGTTCATTTGACCGGTGAAATTCTGCCTGCTATTGGAGTTGCTTTATAACCACAGCTGCAAGTAATTCGGGCTAAATTCCTTGCCTTTGAATCCTTTGCCTTTGAAGATGCAGAACAATTGATGTGTGGAAGTGAAGACACCACTAGGAAAGGGATTTTCAGGGAGGGCCTCAGCTCTTAGCTCAAGGATGGCTTTGGAAGCTAGTGTAGCATTTGTGAGCCACGGATTTGCCTTCTTTGTTTTGTGGCCGCCTCTGTGGGCCGGCCATTCAAGCTATCTGAATCCTCCCTCAGTCAGGATGCAGGAACCAGAGTTAGTGTCTCCTCAGGGCCACTGATGCTCAAAACTGGGCAGAGCAAGGCTAGATGAAGGGCTTCTAATGCACAGCCTCCCAGTGCTCACCAGCCATCCAGCTAAAACCTTTAAAGCTGCAGACCAGAATCAGTAGACAGACGCCCCATGGGAAGCCTTCTCAAAAGAGCCAACAGTTAATGATCACGCACATCTGCTGGGTTTCTCCAGTGCCTTTCAATCCATTTGAAAGTTCTAATAAGTATGATGCACTAAGTTGCAGTCTGTCTGTGTTTATACTAAGTGAATCTGTAAAGACAGGGAGATTAATGGAGAGGGGGCAGGTTGTACAGATGCAAAGCTGAACTCTCCAGAGCACAAAGAGAGCACAAAAGCTGGATTTGGGAGATGGGGGATCACCTGGGATTTAGCCCCTGTTTGTAGATCCCTCAAGGGTCCTGCATCCTGGCCAGGGGAGGACTGGGCCTCTCCACTCCATGGTTGGAGCTGGCCAGCCTTTACCTGAATAATCATCGTGGTTGGTTTTATGAACAGGGACATCGAGGTTTTAAAGGAGAGAAAGGGGAGCCGGGGTTACCAGGGCTGGACGGACTGGATGCCCCGTGCCCATTGGTATGGCATCGCTCTTGCTTGCCTGCATGGCCAGTTTGGGCTTCCCCACGTGTGTGATTCATACCGCGTGCTTCCCCAGCCACCGTCCACACTCCTTTCCATCCTCCCCATCTTCACGTCCCACTTCTTCACTCTGTAGACACCAAGGGTCACCCCACCTTGGCTGGTACTCTGGGGGCTCCCAGCCATGCCACCCTCCTGCATGCGAAGTTTACCCGGATGTTTCCTGGCTTCCTGCGGCAGCTACTTCTAATGCACATCCACCTGATGTGAGCCAGCCCTCCCACCCTGAAGCTGGCTTTGGCTGCCTCTGATCCTCATCTCCAAACTGATTATAGACAAAGCTGCTAGAGACTCCAGCTAGGAAAGTGGGTTCTCTGGACTAGTTCTCAGAACCATGACTTCCTTTCCTTGAGGCAGTGCAGTTAGTTCAGAATGCACTGGCTGAACATCTAGCAAAATGTGTGAATGAGACGCCTGAGTCAGCTGTGTATCCCCTGCCTCCTCCATCGCATGATTTGAGGGACAGAAGGGCAAGATTACCAACAGAAGATACTGAGAAGCTCTAGAATTGAGGTGGAGGAGGAGCCACCTGCCTATTCTTCCAGGTTTGGTCATAGGTCACTGCCCAGGTGACACCATCAGAACTAGGGGATGGTCCAATGGACCAGGATTAGGTTTTCAGATCCTAAAGCATTTGTTCTTTTTGCTTAAATCTCCAAAGACAGTACCAGACCCTTCCTTGTCCCTTTCTTTCATGGTCAGATGGCTTCTTACTGAAGAGTCTGGGAAAGATGAAAAGGTTGAGAATATAGTTCAGGAGGAGGAAGGGAGACAGCTAAGGACCCCTCTTCCAAGCATGTCCCAGGCTAAGTGGTAGCAGTTCATTCCTGCCTGCCTGGTCCCTCTCTGGCATGGACAGTCTAAGCCTCCATGCTGATCCTCTTACTGCAGAAGAAGCAGAAGGGAGCACTTTACTGCTCTCCCCAGATTTCCCCGATAGGTTTGGAGTTCAAGAGTTATTTTATCGTACCAGTAATAAATGAGAATTTGGGGCCTCACATCCCCACCCTGGGGTCACACAGGAATTCTCTTTGACAAAAGAGGAAAAGATATAAGGAATTATGCTGTGTGACCCTGAGAGGTGGTTGTAGAGCCCCTTGAATGGCGTTAGGGACTTTTTAGGAGGAGCATATGCAAGAAAAGTAGAGTGCAGAGCAAGCAGGCAGGTCGCATGCTTCCTGTCCCTGACGGTCCTGCCAAACCCCATGCACACAGCCGGCACGGGCACCTTTCCAACCCAGACTTCTCGAATGCAGCCTGTACATGCACCTTTCCCATTCGAGACTTCCCGCATGCAGCCGGCACGGGCACCGTTCTCAACTGGGACTTTCTGGTCCTATCCAAGCACCTGCCTTGAGCACCAGCCAGGTCTTCCCTCAGCCACAATCCCCTCCCACGATCCAGGCACCTTTAGTTCTGCCAGCAGCTGCCTTGGCCTCTCTGCTCCTCACCATACATTACTTTTCATTCTCTGCCTGCCCTGTCCTCCATACCCGCTGCCACCATCCACGTGCCAGTGGGAATGCCGCTCAGGCCTGCAGAGGTTCCTCTCCCTCCCAGCATCCATGTGATGTGTGTCGCACCGCACCATGGCAGGGTGGGGAAGGGACACAGGGTCACCCTGAAACTGTGGAATGCACAACCTCCCCCTGCAATTCCCTCCCCAACCCAGAGGGGAAAATGAAGGTCACCCTGATTTGACTCTCCATGTAAAATGGCATTTTCTTCCGTAACAACCCATATCAATATGTCATTTTTCTATTACTTTTACTGGAGAAGAGTCTTCCCCCTGTTGTTTCTCACTCTGCCTCCTCCTCTGTGTTATTATGGATTTGGGGGACAGGGGAAGCTATTGATGGTCATTTTTACTACAAGACAACCAGACTTCCTAGGCTCTCCATATTGGGACCAATCCCTGCTGAATGCCAGGTGATGAGTGTTTTCAGCTTCTGGGGTGGGTGGATGATGTTAGACCAGGACAGCAGGGGACTCCCATTCCACATGCTCCCTCAGGACTGAGCACTTGCTCCAGTCTTCTGGAGCCCCGTGGCCATCTCCTTGTCTGCCCTGCCTGTCTAGCAGACTTGGACTGAGAACCAGATCTTTGCCCTTGGCCCAGCCTCACCTTCTCCACCTGGTCTCTAGATTTCTAGATCCCCCAAAAGGAATGCCAGTGAGGAGGGGAGATGAGGGCCTGAGAAGACTCAGGAAGGTTTCTATCACTGAGGGCAGAACATGAACATCTCAAGGCTAAATTGGCTGCATGGTCGTTCCCAACATAGGAGACTGACAGTGTGCAGTTGATTCCTGCACTGCTACCACACTGCACCCCCAAATTCCCAGCAAAGGCTAAGACTTTGCCAGGAACCATTGATTTCTTGCCGAAGGCATCTCAGGGCTGCGCTGCAATACCCATGAGGCTGCCTGTCCCTTCATGCCCCTCACCCCACCCCAGGGTTGATCATCAAAGAGGGACTGTCTGCATGTCCTCCTCCCTCTGCTTAGGAAGAGAGACAGATAAGAGAATCAGAGGGCTGGGAGGGCCCTTAGAGGTCACTTCAAGCAACTGCCTTTGCCCAGGTTTTATGGAGGAGGAAACTGAGGCCCCCTCGTGCTGAGTGGCTTGCCCGTGAGCAGCCAGCACTCCACAGGGCCAGCGCAGAGACTGTTCCTTTGTGGCATACAAGGACATCTCTGCTTGCTGGCCCCGCAGGCAAAGACAGCCCCTATTGGCCTTGCACTGTGGCTGCATGTGACCTTAGCCAATGGGAAAACAGCCAGATTTGTTTCCACCTCCTTCTGAGGTTCTGACCTGGAGTAGAGAAAAGAAATAGACAAGAGTGTGTGGGCCACATCCTGATCAGCTGCCACAATGTGTGTGGCCCCTGTTACCCCTTTCCTGCCCACTTGGTGGACTGTCACAGGTAGTCTGAGCCCTCTGCCTTCCTTTCTCCTTGCAGGGCGAAGACGGCTTACCAGTCCAGGGCTGCTGGAACAAGGTAAGGTTTCCCATCCATTAGCATTGGGGCTCCATTCTCAACAGTGCCATACAGTTCCCACAATTTCCATTCTGCCTTGCTACAGATGAGGCAGCGAGACATAGGTCAAAAAGGCACTGTCTCAAGGGCAGGATGCCCATTAAACATCCCATACACTGCACACTCTTAAAGAACATTTTAAAATGCTTCTTAAGGTATCAGCAGACCCTACGCGGAATGTCCATGCAGCCACACAGGTGACATCTTTATGCTTTGTGTGTTCAATGTACATCGTGCCTTTCTCCCAAGGAACTTTCCCAAGAAGTTCCAGACCATGTTTTTACCTTAGACATCAATCAGTTAACACTCATAGAGTTCCTCTGAGGTCGTTTATGACACATGAGGACGTGTCTTAGATGTCGGGCATCTCAGTTGCCTACACTCTGATCTCACATGCTACTGTGCCTCCCATAGGGGCTGTGCCACTCACCACTCTACCACTCCCTTTGTATTTAAGCTCGCAGAGCTTCATGCCACCACACATGTGACCTGCAGCGCAGTCTCTCCTGGGCTCCCAGAGTTCCTACCGACAATGAGTTTTCATTGATTCACACTGCCCTTGGCATTTGCCATCATTACATCAGTCTGACAGCACAGGGCTGTGCCCTTGCACGCGATCACCCCATTCAACCATGGATCCCCAGAGCGCAGGGCTGCCCAGGCTGACAGGGGCCGTCTGTTTGCTAACTAACCCAGAAGCCCCGCATTGGTCCCCAGCAATAGTGGCAGCTGCTATGCTGCCCCATGCCGTCTCCCTCCACCGTGCCTCTCCAAATCTTTTCACCAAACCCCCACCACCATTGTCTCAAGGTTCAGCCTCATTAAGGGGCTGGAGACTCCAACCTTTTCAAGAGTCTGTGCTCAACGAATCCAGTCCTGTTCCAGTGACAGAAGAGTCACACTTACTGTGAGATGAACAAGCTCCCCTGTGCTAAGATACCCAGAATCTCATTAGTGCACTGGGGTGGGTAAAAGTGGTGAAACCACCAAGACCCCAGGCCAACGTTGAACACCTTCTCGCCCGGGTACCTAAAGCACCCCCTAACCCAAGAAGGAAAAGTTCAACACTCAAGAGAGATTGCTCCCCAGAATCTGTCCCTGGAGCCTGTCCTCGTCCTCCTACCAAGCTCCACCTAGATCTAGTTAAAACACCACAAAAGCAGGTCAAAGGTGTGTCGAACAAGACCTCCAAACCCTGGCCCCCTAAAAAAAATTCCTCTTTAAGGTTGCTGCCAGTGGTTAGGAGATAGAAATGGTTGAGCTTAGCAGGGGAAGAACAGCCACCGCCAAGAGCTGCAATGTCTTGGAGAAGCAACCGGAGACCTTCATGACTATTCATTCACAGCATAAGTCTAATCTGGGACGATGCAGTTACAAGCCAGGCCTCCAAAGCCAGCAGAGAAAGAGAGTGCCCTCTAGTGACCACAAAGGTGAACAGAGAGGTGAACTTGGTTTCCTGCCCTCAGGGAGCTAAGGTAGCCACCAGTTTCTTCCACCTAGGGTCTCATGGTTCCCACAGCTCCCCTGTCCAGAACTCCCATCCAACCCAGAACAAGATTTGCCTCCCTTCCTACAAAGGAAATAAACCTCTGCAGACCCACTGAAACTAACAGAACATTGTTTTGTTTTTGTTTTGCAGTGATGCCTCTAACCTTGGATTGGCCTGTGTGTGTTTGTACATAGAATATTTATTTTTATACAGTTTTCACTTTTTGAAAATGCCAGAAGTATGATGCCTCTTACAGATTATTAAAAAAGAAAAACCTGCATATTTTGTACAGAAAATATCAACCTCTTCCCTTTTGTTTACAAGATGTTTTGTATAAGTCTATGTCTCTAATACACTTTTCGTTTATGAGTATGGTCGTAATGTCTGCATGATATTTGTGCACACTTATTAAGTATTGAAGCTTAATAAATTATTGTGTCCTGGTGCCAAAGGGGGCCAGCCAGAGCTGAGGTGCTGGCTAGATCGTGTGAATTCACACAAATGTAGAGGTCCATGATATTTGCCAAGCTAGGTGTGTCTAAGAATATTTTAAACCCTTGTGGATTTTCATTATTAAAAAAATGAAACATGGCAATTCATGATCCTGACTAATCATTATATTAAATACATTCTCTTCTGTGAAAGCAGGAAGTCCCAGAAGTAGGGGTCCTCAGAAGCATGGAGTAAAGTTTTGAAATGTGAAGTTCAACAAAGGGAGGTGGGGGGACTCTATCGAGCAATGTATGCTGTTACAGATCCCAAGTTTATCACAGTGCTTACTGTGTGAGCATTCAGTTGTGCTAAGGGCCCCCAGGGTTTCCAAGGAGCTATCTGCTCTTTTCTGTTGGGTTCTGGTGGGTTTTTGTTTGTTTCGCTTTGCTTTGAGCTACAATCCCTAGTAGCCGCTATTGCTAATCATGGCTGTTGACCTGAGTATGAGTTTGTGGGTTCACTCACAACTAGCAGTTGAAGGAGCTTTGCCTCATCTGAGGCTCTACTCCAGCCTAGGGTGCTCACAAAACATGCATAGATCTGGGCGTGGGCTGGGCCAATCTGAAGTTTTTATTTTTAAAAAAATAAGGTTGTATTGTTTTCCATATTTAGTGCATTGCTTAGAAAAGGTCTCAGGAAACTGGTTTTAATGACTACTTAAGTCTTTCCTGTGGTGTAACATATAGGTTTATTGTTAGCTGTTTGACAACATAAATTCGTGCTTCTAAAAGCTTGAAAACAACAAATTACTCCAGTAGTTCATGTACATCCCCATCTGGTTTACATTTTACATTCTCTTTATACCTCCTTTCTTCTTAGACAGCGCAAGGGGAAATTTAACCCCAGATTCTGTCCACATGCTGTCACACAAAACCCTAAATTAGTGGGCTTCACAGTCATTAGACACACCCCTGCCATGTGTGGGGATGAGGTCACACTCGCAAGCGAAATCACATGAAATCACATGCAGCTCAGACCCAAAAGGACTACATCAACATTCTTACTCCAAACATCACTAGGTTAGCTTGGAACTTGGACAACTTCCTCCTCTAAGTCTTGGCTTCCTCATTTGAAAAGTGAACCGAGTCTGGGTAACATAGCTAGACCCTTATCTCTACAAAAACATTTTTCGAAATTCAGCCAAGCTTGGTGGCAGTCGCCTATAGTCCCAGCTACTCCAGAGGCTGAGGTGGGAGGATTGCTTGAGCCTGGGAGTTTGAGGCTGCAGTGAGTTATGATTGAACCACTGCATTCCAGCCTGGGCAACAAAATTTGACCCTGCCTTTTTATAAAAAAAAAAAAAAATTTAAAAAAGAAAAAAAAAAGAAAAAACTGAAAACAGATTAGTGAACAAGAGTTGATCTCTGTGGACACAAACAGGGCTCATCTGAACCCAGCGATGCTTCTTGCCCCGGGCCAATTCTTATGGCCCTGTAGCCCAGGGATTCTCCAGCCGCCACAGAGTACTTTTAGAGGCTGCAAAACTATTTTAAGTTTCACCTTTCTACATTTAAAAGAAAAAAGTGAATATATAACAATGAATCCAGCCAGGATTGTGTTTGTGTACCAGCACAATTGTAAAATACAATTTTTTGACCGGCCTGACCAACATGGAAAAACCTCGTCTTTACTAAAAGTACAAAATTAGCCAAGCGAGGTGGCGCATGCCTGTAATTCCAGCTACTCTGGAGGTTGAGGCAGGAAAATCGCTTGAACCTGGGAGGCAGAGGTTGCAGTGAGCGGAGATCACACCATTGCACTCATTGTTGCCTGGGCAACAAGAGCCAAACTCTGTCTCAAAAAATACAGATATAATTTTTTTTAATTTAAAAAAATATAACTTTTATATTTTTTAATGGAGGAAGGCAAAACTACCCAGGAACCCCAAAAGTCATAATGCAGCCCAGCCCAAATCCTCTGCCCCTTAGAATTCAGTCACCCTCACTGCGGGTGTTCCCATCTCCAGGTCTCATACTCCTCCCCTCCCAGCCAAGGTCCCAAGCAATCAGGGTGTGACCCCGTTCTTCTAACCCCTGGCCTGATTCCCTTTCAGGCTCTGGCCGGGGCAGTAACAGCTCACTGATGATCTCAGAACAAAGTAGAGCATCCACTGGAGCCCGGGAAGCAGAGATTCAGTGTTAGCTGAATATCCTGGGTAACTGGGCAGAGACCACTTTTGTTCCAGTCCTGGGGTTATTCATTTACTTAGAACACCTCAGCTACCGCCACTAAGGATTCAAAGTCACAAGAATCTACGTAATAAAATAGAAATGTGTGTAAGGACAGCTTTACAAGTAGAGAGGAGACAGCGGTAGCTGGGAAGCCCAGGGGATGGGCGAAGGTCCTTGCTGTAACTGAGGCGGGGTCGCACACATCACTTCATGCCACCTGGTGGTCACAGAAGAAAAAAAAAAAAAAGGTCCCACCCTGTTTCGGAGTCCACAATGCCCTGCCCAGTGGACTGCAGTCCCCGAGGCTTAGTCCCTCGTGTGTAAGCACATTGTCTCCACACACAGTTGTTGCTGCTGTCGTGCTCAGCCAGGACCCTGCCCTGTCACCGGACTGCACCCCAGGCTCCTGATTGCAGGCCTCTGCCCCCGAGCCTCCCCACTTGAATCTTGGCTATGTATCAGAGGAAGGAGAGAGAAATGAGAAGTAGGGAGGCACATGGTGAAAGCGTTTGCACAGGAGCTGGGAGTCCGTACTAATGCCCAGCAGACCAGGACACCCAGGCGAGAAGGAACAATCTGGTGACGGAATTCGAGATGCAGGCCCGTTGCTTGAGGGACCAGGAAAAGGCCAACCTGAGGGGCAGGTGCCACAGAGGGCTTGCAGAGGAGAAAGACACACTCTCTGTTTTGGGGGACTTGTCGCACCTCCTGGTGAGAACTGCCTGCCCAGGGAACCGGAGAGGCACCCAGCCCTGACCACTGAGCATTTGGTGAAAGTTCTTTGTAAATTGCAAGGCGCTGGGTTTTAAGGCCGTTTATCTCCTGAGATTCACTCTCTGGTTCCAGTATATGTGGCTCTGTGCTCTGGCACAGCAAGACACATGTCCAGCATTGTCCACGTGGATACCTGCAAAGACTAGCCAGTACCCCATGGGTGGCAGTGTGACCGGGTCTTCTGGGCCCAAATGGTGCCTCTCTCCAAGGCTGAGACTTATGTGGCTGTGGTCATGTGGGCCAAGGGAAGCCGAACCTTCCTGAGGGAAGAGGGAGCTCCTTCCATACATTCCCAGCCCGCCCCATCTTAGCCCCACCCCATTCTGCCCTCCCTTCCCCAGCCCTGCCTTCCCCAGGCAGAATGGGATAGGATGGAGCTGGGGAGAGTCAGCATCAGCCTGTAAGAGGAGGAGGGCACTGACCAGCAAGTCCAGAGACTCAGCTTCTAGTTCTTTCTCTACCATTACCTCGCAATGTGGCCTTGGGCACCTTACTCCAGGTCTCAGTTTCCGCAAGCATCATGTAAAGAAGCTAGACATGGGCGACCTCCATAAAACTTTCCAGCTCCGACATCCTAAGGCCCTCTGGCCCCACGGACAGGTCAGCTCCTGGGAGGATTGTGGATGCTGAAGCATTCCATGGCCCCCGCCACCTAGAGTTATTTGGCTGTGACAATATTATGCATGGCATTGGTTTTGCAAAACTGTGTGCAGCATGTGTGTGCTATGTAACCCCGAATAACAAAACTTCGAGTAGGCCTGCACCACCCAGGAGTAGGGTCGGCACGGTCAGCTTTCCTTAGGGCAAGAACGCCATAGAGGTTGTTTCTCACATTGATCTCGACACTGAGGATGTGTCAGAGAGAAAGCAATACAGTGCTGACCACCTGGCACACGCGGGAATCCCCAAGCCCCACAAACATTCAGGGACGCGGCACTGGCATGGGGAGGCCCGCCCACCCCCTCCTCTCAAGCCCTGTGTGTCCCTCCCATGCACCACCTCACACACTCCCCCAGCGTGTCTCCCCCCTTGCCCTGGACTTGGACACATTTTCAGCCAGCTTGAGACATCAAGTCCCCAAGACTCCACATCATTTCAAAAGCAAAGAGCAGGTTCCCTGTGAACCTTCAGAAAAGAGGACACCATACCAAAATGTGCAACCAAGAAGGAGAGCAAGGGAAGGAGCAGCTATTCGCCTCTCGAGGGAGCAGAACTCCCAAGGGGTCGCTAGAGCAGGATGCCTCTCACTATGGTGAAGGAAGCAGGAGGATGGTGCAGGGAAGGGAGCCTCATCTCAGTCACTCAGGCAGAATTCACTGCCATCCACGTGCAAAGTGACCTCTGGCTGGTAGAATAGCTCAGCTCTGAGAAACAGCCAAGCACCTGTGGAAGGAGACTCAGGTGGAGACAGAGGGCCACTGCCCCCCTCATGCCCGGGGCCTTCCCCAGAGGGCCCCCCTCCTTTCTTGGGCCTGCCACTCACCCTGCGCACACACTCTGCTGCCCCTCCACAGGCTCGCTCGAGCCGGGCCCTTAGCTGGAGATGCCATTGCTTCTTATCTGTCTCCATTCAAGGCCCAGCTCAGATCCCATGGCCCTGGAGAGCTGGTTCTGGGCTCCTTGGTTGGTAGAGTCTCTCCTCCCTGCAACGCCTGGAACTTAGTGTTCTTTTCTTCCTCCACCTTATGTGAGAGTGTGCAAAGGGGCTCTTCCACATTTGATAGTGAGCTCTCAGAGGGCAGGGACTTTCTTACTCACAGGCACTGGAGGGACCTAGCTCAGTGTCTCCCCTACAATCCAGCCATCGATCCAGGCTCATACATATCTACCATCTCCTGAGTTATCAGCCAGCTTTGCTAAGCACCTGACATGGGCAGACACTGTGTTTCCTGCCAGGCTGGAAAGGAGAGGGAAGTGGTCCCTAGGACTGTAAGACCCAGCTCCTCTAGGAGCTTCACCAGAGCACACCCAACAGCACACCCATCCACCCTCCAGGAGCTTCTCCAGAGCCACTAGGAGCACACCCATCAGGGACGAGTGTGCTAAGTGCTAAGTGAGGGGTACAGCCAGCGAGGGCAGGGGTGCAGAGGACAGAAGCTCCTGCAGTGGCCAACGTGGACAGAAAGAGCAGAGGACTAAGCCAGCTGGGAGGGACGTTACGA